CCGGTCGTAATCAGGAACCCTCCGACCATTCCGGAGATCCTGGAACCGTACCGCTTCGTCAGAAGTCCCCCAAGGAAAACTAAAAACCAAAGACAAGTCGAGATGCAATACATATAGTTGGAGACGCCAACTGTGACAGTAAATTTGGACATCTGCATTAGAGTTAACAATACAGTTCATGAACGAAATTGCTTCTGGCATGTGTCAGTGTAAGAGTCTTGATAACTCGTGATCGTGAGTCGTGATCCATGTAATTCCTAAAATCATGTTGCAGTCGCAATAGAACAACCTAATTATAGCAAGGGTGCTAGTGAAGACAGTAAGGCTCTCGAACTTGAACAGCAGTGCAAATTCCACAACTCTGATCTTTCCCCGTACTCTGCCAAATCTTTCTGGCACGACATTGCATTTGGACATGCATGGACAAGTCTGGAGTACTGATTCCAGTGTTTGTAGGACTCGAGTCCAGGACTCGGACTCGAGCCACATTTTTCGTGACTCGGACTGTACTCGAGTCACATTGGAAAATAACTCGGACTCGGACTCGACCATGATGACTCTGACTCGAGCTTGGTGACTCGTGACTCGAGTCACGTATTTTCATCAAAAGAAAAAACCTAGCATAGGGATGGGAAAGGATCATTGAGGAATAATGTTTGGATGATAAAACATGGAGGGAAGGGATAGAGGAGGATTTTTTAGGGATGGGAATTAAAAGGAAAACACATTTTGGGTCTTAACAACATGTACACACACAAGGTAAACTATATACACTGGGATTTACTTAAAAGACAGAATGGATGATTGAAAAATAATTTGAAAAATAATTGATAAGTTTGGTGAACAACTAAGAACAAGTGACTCGTGACTCGGACTCGAGGTTTGTGACTCGAGACTCGGACTCGGACTCGAGGTTTGTGACTTGAGACTCGGACTAGAGGCTTTTGACTCGGGACTCGGACTCGACGTTGGTGACTCGACTACAGCACTGAAGTCTGATTCTCAAATACAGCTTTGTGGTAAGACAATTCAGCTTATTTCAGCCTGGTTTCATATTTGCTAATTACCACTAAAGCACGAGAAAGCTGACAACAGACTCTGGACGGTCGCAGTTTCTTGGGCACTGGTTTCGAACTCGTTCCTCCAACTGAAGTACAAGACCCCGCAGCAGCGCTGCAGGCCCATCGTCAGGGCCATGTTGATGTGGCCCGCCAGCACGACTATGATACCCCAACCGCCCTCTTTTGGTTGATCATCAACCATCCGATGATGGCATCTCTTGGCCGCCATCTTGACTGACTTCTCCACGTCAGGCATCTTCCAAAATTGAAAAGGTCAACGAAACATTGTTAAAACGGTGTCTAGAATTTAAACACTTTTTGGACCCACTTTTCTGCACGTGTATTTTCAACGACATAGTGTTGTCAACATTTTTAGATACAAACGAATTAAAGCTCGTTAGTGCCATCAAGACTGAATTTTAAAGATACATCATCGAGTTCGCTATTGAGTCGCCACATAACTATTGTGCAAAACAAATAATGCGTATTATTTCAACTTCATTGCAACTTCGTGAGCTATTTCTATTTACTGCAAAAACAAGAACTGATTTTACTTACTTTTAAAACAACCTTTTCATAGAATCATAATCATGTAGTAAGACTCACCTTCAGATCCGTTCTTTAAGTTGTACTTTGACGACGTGCCTGGTCCACCAAGATCTGTTTCGATACAAATATTTGTTGTTATACAAGCTTTTCGACCTTTGGACTTTGCTCGTCGGCTTGCATTAAAGGTTAGATTGACAGATGACTAAACCAAATGATATACGCACACATAGCCTTGGTCAATGCTCTCGTCGTTATTCGTCCCGTACGTAGTCTTGGTTCCAAGACCTTCGTTGAATATTTTTTCCCCCGGCGCAAGAAAATTATATTGCACGAGTACAGGCCCGCGATGAAAAACTGTTATCGATTCTGCAATGTATTCGATACTTATTCACTGTGTTTATTGAACGGGTTAACGAGTATCGATTCTAGCGCGAACGATTCTGTACTTCTGTAATGTACCGCGTAAATATCGTCCGCGATTCGATTGTGCGCGCTGTGGTCCTGTGAAGTGCGCCCTCTGTTGATTGAAAACAATTGTTTTACAAAAGTATTCATTAATGATTACACACATACACAAACAACGCAGATAGTAACGTCTTGGAACCAAAACTATCCCGTACGCGGTAATCAATCAGCGGCATATCCTCGCGTGCTACGCAGTGCATGTAAAAATACAGTGCAAACAGCGACCTCATGCGGCCACTATTTTTATGCAAATCAGTTGGGCGCGAGGATATGCCGCCGATTGATTACCGCGTGCATTGACCAGAGCTAACGCACGCAAGGCCAATTGTTGGCGTCTGGTCAATGAAACTTTAGGTTGGAGACGACGAAGCTGATGATTAAAGGTGATACCCAATGCACTTAAAAAATGGTTATTTCTTCTCCTATAATTTTCAATTTGTATATTTTGTTCTCGATTATGGGCGTCTGCAAGTTCCCTCTGAAAAACGGCTTTTCATTTTGTGTACAAAATTAATAACCCGCCCTCCGAGGGCCGAATCATAAATATAAGACTAGGTTTACACTATATTCCCGGCGGTCACAGCAGCCCTGTTTGCCCGAAACGTAGTGCGCCGTGGGATTTTGGCAATTTTTTTTCTCCGTAGTCAAGTTTTGTTAGGTCCTGCTAAGTTTTCTCACGGTCTATCACGGTATCCGTGATTGGCCGTGGGGGGAAAGGGGCTGCTGAGTCCTGGAGGCTCAAAGGCGCACTACGGTTCGGCCCGCGGTCTACCACGGATGCCAGTACGTTCCCTCCCGGCCTGTCACGTTCTGATGGGGTCCCTCTGGGGTCCCTCACGTTCTAAGCAAAGTCTGACACGTTTTTCGCGTTCTTTCAAGGCTTGCTGGTCGTTCTGTCACAGTTTTTGCCCACGGTATGAAAAGAAGGCCTCCCAAGCAATAGCAATCATTGTATGCTTTTACACTCCCTCCCAGACCGCGCTCGCCGTATCAGACCGTAGTAGAACGCAACTCGCCGCATCGCACCGGGCCTGTAAACCGTCACACATCTGGACGCGCCGTGATTGAACGCGACGAAACGGCTACCGTACACCCTAGCTTGCCGTGAGAAACGAAGCAAAACGCGACAAAACGCGCAGCAACCGTGACAAAACGCCCGCTAAACGCGGCAGAACGTGACAAAACTTGAAAGAACCGTGAGATGCCGGGGAATGCATATGATTCCCGTCCCACTACGGACCGTCTCCAAGTTTTGTTACGGCCTTTCACATACTTTCACGTTTTGTTGCGTTCACCCCGTTTTACTACGGCCTACTAGGTTTCTCATCCGCACCGTGACTGCCGTGGCAATTTTTTTGACAGTTTAAAAATCTGACCCGGCATCCACGGCAATCACGGACTGTCACGTTCGCCCATCCCGTCCACCGCGTAGTCTCACGTCCATACCGTTTTGTCCACGGTGGCCAGAAACGTGATTGCCGTGGCCGCCGGGAACATAGTGTAAACCTAGCATAAATATTTAGGCCTAGTTAAGTTCTCGTATGGCTCCTCCTAAGAGTATCGTGTTTATTAATTTATTTGCCGTAATTTTCCATTCTGTGGCCAGGAAACAACGCCTATATACAACTGCGAGTTGTAGGCCTAAATGAACTAACTAATTCCACACATCACTGTAAATATACCGCGCCTGCACGTATTCCAAAACGTCCAGACTTCTCATCAAACACTTTTATCATCGAAGTGGTCCCATGTACCTTGTACCTGGTAGATCAAACTCCCGAACGGTCCACCACAGCCAGGGTTCTAAACTTGAAGTTGACGAGAGCGGATGCCTAGCGGGGGCTGTGAAGTCTTTGTTGGTCTTCAGATGGAGCTTTTGAAGGCTGCAGAGGAAGTTATGTTGAATGTTTGCTGTGGTAGGACTGTTTCTAAAGTAAACTGGCTTCAGGAAAAAAGACCGGATAAACCCGGTAGATGTATGATTATGTTATCACAGTTGGGACTTCAAAACAAGTATTGTTTTGCCGACGGATGTGAGCTGTGAACGGAGTAACTCAAAGTTCAAGTCTCTGTTTGTTCATGGTTCATTTACCTTATCCGACCTTTGCGGTCGCAAATGTCGAAATGTGATTGTAAAACTCACTAGCAGCTGTCTAATCGCAAGTACCTTGCCAAGTGTCAAACGTAGTTCATCTGTTAATATTAATAAGCATAAACATAATGACGCATCACGCTCTAAATTGTGTGTTTCTGCCAAACCAGGAAGTCACGGTGTACGTATCAAAAAACACCTGCATTTGTATGCAGCTGCATTTTAAAGCGAACTATTATTAATAGGCCACAGAACAATTAACGCTTCGTAGTGCCAGTGTACAATAAAAAAAAATTACAAAACTGCACATAGAAAGATCATTGTCAACAGGCACGTAGAACATTGGTAACTACCCAGTAACGTACTTGTCGATTTATTGAGAAAAAAACATCCTCAAAGTGAGATCGGGCGGGTACCATATACCCTGTGGAACTATCATAGAATAAGGGAATAAAGGGGTGTTTGACCGTTTGTTTTTTTGGTGTTTTTTTTTTTAAGTATGTTTAAAACCGGCCAGGGGCCTGGTCGCCGGTAATGGCCCCAGCCGACTAATCTGCGGCCAGGCCTCCCAGCCGGTTTGAAATTGTACTGTTTAAAACTGGCCAAGCACATATTTGTTCCCATTCCTGAAATACCTTTCGGTCAAAAAGTCCAAAACAAGTCAAAAATTCACAATACATGTACTCAAATAACTCGAAATATACTCAAACACAACACTATTCTGCTTTTTCCTATTTCTTTATGCAGTGTCATAAATACTTCATAACAAAAAATTTAAAAATTAAACCTGAAACAAACACATGGACGGAGATTGGGCCAGATGTGTAAAAAAAAAATGGATGAGTATAATATTTATAAAATATCTCTTAAATCAACATATATTTAACTAATGCTTACCATTATTAATTAATTGAACAAGTTTAATGCACACATAGGCCTACGTACTTACTTTCTGAGTCTAATGCTTTTTTTTCTGCAATAATAAGGTCCACATAGGGGCAAATGATCATTCTGGTATGGATTTAGATGACAGATTCTGAAATTATATGAATTCCTTTACCAACTATACTCTGCAATATGTAACTAATTGTTTCCTGATCTTCAGTCTGTTTTCCAGCTCTGAGCTCTACATACAATGGGGGTAATAATGATGTAGGGTTGTAAGAGTCGAAATTGGTAGACATGTGCTTTGGTAATTAACACTATTGCATTGGTGTATTTCTTCCATGATGTCTATTCCAGTGTTGTAGCCGAGTCCATCGCAAGTGGGGTTACTAATTCTTTCAGAGGTAAATAGGCCGGGATAAACATTGAAAGGAATTAGTGTCCCTGTCGCATTTCATTTGGATAGCTTGCAACTTGATTTGGGACGGGATTCACGTGACATTGACAAGAATTCTGAGGACTTGAGAGGACTTGTGAGGACTTGAGACAACTGGAAAGGGCTTGAGAGGACTTGGGAGGACTTGAGAGGACCTGGGAGGACTGAGGAGGACTTGTGAGGACTTGTGAGGGCTTCAGATGAATTGGGAGGACTTGTGTGGACTTGAGAGGATGAGAGGACTTTAGAGGACCTGGGAGGACTTGATTGGCCCTGGGAGGACTTGAGAGGACCCTGGAGGAATTGGGAGGACTTGAGATGACTTGTGAGGACTTGTGAGGGCTTCAGATGACCTGGGAGGACTTGTGTGGACTTGAGAGGATGAGAGGACTTTAGAGGACCTGGGAGGACTTGATTGGCTCTGGGAGGACTTGAGAGGACCCTGGAGGAATTGGGAGGACTTGAGATGACTTGTGAGGACTTGAAAAGAATTTAGAGGACCTTGGAGGAGGACTTGGAAGGACTTGGGAGGACTTGGGAGGATTTGTGAGGACTTGGGAGGGCTTGTGTGGACTTCAGAGGACTAATGTGTAGACTTCAGAGGACTTGTGAGGGCTTGTGATGACTTGTGTTGACTTGCGAGGACTGTAAAGGACTTGTGATGGACTTAACTATAACACTGGTCTACTCATTATTGATGATTTTATTGACCGTCTGCGACAAGCCGGCCGCGTTGATGACTGTCAACGTCAAGTGGTAGTCGGTGAAGGGAGCCAGCGGTGAGACACGCATACCAGTCTCCATGGTCTCCACCCACTGCATGATATCACTACCTCCTGGGATGGTACCCAGAGATACCTCATAGACCAAGGAGGAGGAAGGGGAGGAGAACAAGCCATCCCAGGCAAGATCAACCGTCGTGTTGCCCGGCCAGGAAGACCTGAGCAGACTCAAGGCTATTTGTAAGGAGAGCAGAAATTACAGAAGAGAAATTATAAGAAAATGAAATGTAAAGGCAGTGGCATATCCAATCAATTTCTTTGTCATAATTTCATGAAATGGACCGACGATTTAAGGGCCATTAATTTATAGCAGACATTGTTCCACTGAGCTGTTCAGTGTTTTGTGTCCATAAGCTGGAAAAACACTGTTCATTTTCAACTGTCAAAGTGCAGCTCGCGGAGTGCCCAAATGCCGGCTTTGTCTTAGGAAAGTATGCCTCGTGTACTCGAGTATACGCATGAAGTCAACAGCTGGCCTGCAGCCATTTAACGGATGTAGTATTTTTCTCAAATATCTGTCGCTAAATGCAAAGTTTTCCTAGGATTTCCAAGCAAGGGGCAATGGGCACTTTTTAGGCTGGCGGATTCAAAATTTCATTGCCAGAAACAACTAATGGATGTTGAGAACATATCATATAATTGAACTTTCTCTGGATTTCATACCATGAACCGTGGGCCACGAGGACTCGACTGAGAAGCTCTGACTGATAGCCTGGCTGGTCAGACCGGCATGATTGATGGCTCTGACTGACAGGGTATAGGTTGCATCATCAACCAAGCTAAGACCTGACCAATCCAGGTTGGTCTCTGATGTGGATCCACAAAATGTCCAGGATGTGACAGCATCGGGACCATTAAGGTGGCACTGTGGGAATTCAGAGTGAAATCAGACATTGCAGATCACGAACAAACTGTCAACTTTTCACAACTGTCTCCTTAAGAAAATCAGCAGAATCCTATTGCACATCACTGTATCCAAAACAAAAATCGGTAACAGAAAACAAACTCTAAATAAAAATTGGTAACAGAAAACAAACTCTAAATGCATACTGGCAGAGATAGCTGGTGGAAGATTCAGGTAGCTTGGCCATATCTTCAGGATGACTTCGGACAGCATCCTCAAAACAGCACATTGTTGGAAAACCAGGAGGGGCCGGGGGGGGGGGGGGAACGGGCAGACCAACTTGGAGAAACCATTCACACATCATTTGCACCTTAAACTTCCAAAACCAATATATGGTAAAGGCCGGTTCGTACTCAGCCCAAAAGCAAACCTTAATGTGAATTTGTGACGTCAAAACAAGTTTTCGCACTGTGAATTCGCAAAACACATTTCAACTCCCGCGAATTTTGCGTTCACGTTGGCAGGGAGTATAGACCGGCTTTCACAAGGAATGTGCTCTAAATTATTTTCATAGCTTTTGCTTGAAAGTCTAAAGTTTCACGATGGATATGAGGACTTTTGTTTTAGAAAACTGTAACCTGCTTGGTTTTGTCTTTGTCTTCTACCTGTCTATACTTGTCTGTGTTGTGCACATGGTGTTTAAATATAAAAGTGAACATACTTGCCATTGTAAACATGAAGTTTTGGAAACTTTCTTAATCTAAAAATGTTGTCGACAATGATGAAGTAAACATCAAATGACTATTGATTGCAAATTAAAACTTAAGTGACATAATACCTCATAAAAATGAATTCCAAAAGGGTCGGCAAATCCATCCCATGATGCTTTGAGGGCGTCTTTTTGAGACTGGTGCCGGTCCCGTGTATAGTACTGGGTCTCCGACACGGTCTTCACGCGAACAAAAGCCGCCACTGCGCTCGGGGGCTCCGTAACTATGGTTACACCATCGGAGGATTTCCACGAGGACTGGCCGGCGTGATTGTGGCAGGTGATGGTTGTATACAGGCGCTGGCCCTCTAGTGACGCCCGAGGCAAACTGGCAGTCACTGGGGACACGGCGGCAGGCATCTGTGAGGTAGGAATTACGTCAGCCAGCCCGGGCTCTAAACCTGGTTAAGAAAAAAAATGGATAACTAGTTTGGGTTTTGCATTATTAACATTAATAAGCTATTTGTGAATAACCTATACCCTTAGCAAGTTAAATTTGAATAACATCTGGTACATCTTGCTCATAATGCTTGGCACGTTTTAACCTTGAATTCTCCAGGCCAAAGACACTGTTGCTAATCACATGATTTGGGGCAAGCTCTTGCGTAGTTACGTAAGAGACGCTCAGCACCAATACATTGTTCACAATGGGTGAGAATGGCACGAAGACACCAGACCATTCCTGAGCTGAGGGTTGCTAGCATAAGGCTTGCCCCGAATCACGCAACAGTCTCTTTGGTCTGGAGAATGCAAAGTTGAAATGTGCCAAGCATTTGAGCAAGTCAGGGTACCAGATGAAGGCTGAAACGTTTGTGAAATTTGCCAGAAATAACAAAATCACAAATGACTTCACAAACTCCTGCAATTGCGCCGAGTACGGAACTGACCTTTACAACATAGACAAGAGTTCTTCAAGGGATACAGGAATGAAGGATATACGATCATGTAAGAATCAATTTGTTTATAAAAAAAGTCCACACAATTGGGTACAGACTGGCCAAGCAATCATATCCCTGTGCTGCACCTGACAAGATTCAAACGGGACCCACATACAGACTGAGATGGAGGCCAACTGAAACACCAACAAAATTTAACAAATAAAAGTTCAATTCTCTGTTTCAATTGTTTGTCTGGATGAGAAGTGTGAATAAAACTGTAACAGTGGTACATGCAGAATGTGGCCAGTGTGTGCTTTCGAGATGGGTATGAAAGCTGTGTCAGTAAGTAGAAGGTTGTGGGTTCATGTCCAACCCAAGTTAACTCGTGTTTTTTTAATATATATCAGCAGGCATAAAAAAAAAGGATTTGCTTACCGACTGCCCACTCGCAGTGTTCAATACCACTCTCAGGATCGGAAGCTGACCAACTAAAAGTAATATCCGTGTCATTGGAAGTGAAGTCAATATCTGTGAATACAAACAAAGGAAAAAGGATGTGAATCGTACTTTTCCAGAATGAATTGACAACTTTTCTTAACACCGATTATGCATGTGAAACAACGTAACACCACCAAAATTTAGTTTAGCACCCCTTACATGATCCTCTTTTTATAGGCAAATTTTCTATATATTTTTGGGGGAAAAATCCAAAATAAGTGTAACTTCAACATAATTTGGATATAAAAATTGGTCAATAATGGTCATACTCCAACTTTCATTATCAAATTCTTAGTCACATGACCTACCATTTTCCTCCCCTCCGTCACTGACATACTCAATCACAGGAGCTGTGAAGTCGATTATGATTGGACCAGATGTCGCCACGGCAACCAGATCAGCCGCATTTCTAGCGGTCACAGTGACATGAACATGGGAACCGTGCTTCATGCCCAGACGAGTGTTGGTGGCGTCGGTCTGCGTCCCCACGGAGGTGAAGCTTTGTAGCTGGGTACCGCCTCTCGTTGTACCTGGAAATTGTTGGGAGAAAAAATACGCCTTCATGCTCCAATGCAAAATGAACTTCATAACATCAAGTGAAGTTCATTTGATCCCCAAACGAATTTTACTTGCACTGCAACTCGCATGACATGTAAACCAGCCTCTTCACTTAATTTTGGACAACAAAGCAGAGGATGTCATTCTACAAAAAAAATGCTGAGAAAAATGAACCAGCACAATCAATCACACGCGCATCGTCAAATTCTTTTACTAAACTGAGAATGCAATTTGACTGCGCACTGTTTTTAACAACTATTCGAGTGTTAAAACACGTCTGACTGTAATTTCAAACTTTGCAAGTGGCCAATTTAACCCTTTAGTCACTGAAGTGCCTGAAACCGCCCTGCCTATTACTCACTGCAGCGCCCAAAACCGCGCTAGCACTCTGTGATTTTATTGATTCTGCAGTGAATAAACACAATGTAATACAATGTAACACAATATGTAATACAATGTAATACAATGTAATACCATGTAATACAATGTAATACAATGTAATACAAAGTGCTAATGGGTTAATCAAGCTGCAGAGCTTAGGACAGAAAACAATTACGTTGCAATTTGCTTAACTATCTTTTAGCTTAGGATCTTACGGTACCCAAACTGCGCAGGCTATTCATTTTGATTTCACACATGATTCAACTTTACTTCACATGGAAGTGATGATCAAAAATGGCTCGATGTCTCAATTTTGATAGATTATCAAAATGGAGGATTGAATATAATTTTTTTTTTTTTTCAAGTGAATTTCTGTCACAAAATTATTTCTCAACCCACTGAAAATGTTGCTGATTTGTTATGATTTAGGAATCTGCTAGTTTACCGATTGCCCAGCTGTAGTCTACAATGGGGCTCTCTGGGTCGACGAAGTGCCATTTGGCCTGGATGGACGACCAGCTGTGAATGAACTGGGTGTGGACTTCTACGGAGCCATTCCCGGTACTCGGCCCAGTGGTAACCAGCCTGACCTATCATAATGAATAAAGATGTCAGAAGACTGTTTCAAACACTAGTACTTTTTTTAGTTCGATATAACCACTAAAAAAAATTGAAAATTTTAGAAGTGAATCCCCCTCCGCCATATAACCACTCCAAGAACAATAGATTTGTAAAGAAAGATATCTACTTAAATTGACTTGTACAATTTTACTTGCAGAATCACAATTTTTTTTGTTTTAAAAAAAATTAAATGGCAACAAACTATATTTTATAAAAAAAATTATGTTTAGAATTTGTTTTATTGTATACTTTTAGACGACTCCATTAATTCATTATTTTGAACAGTAGGAGTAGTTCAGGCTGGACACATCTGCACATTGGAATGGAGGGGTCAGGAACGAGTGCGCAGCTCAGAATGGCCAACGATTAGCTATCCAGATTTTTACACGAAGATCAGTGCAACATTACATTAGTCCAAACCGCTATGATAGAACTTTTTGCCTGTTACCTGGATGTTATCCAAGAGGATCCCGTTTGATTGTCCCACTGAGGAAATTTTCAAAGTGGAGGCAGCGTCGCTGGCTGTGAAGTAAAACCTGTGCTGATGCCATCGGACGGAACTCAGACTCTGGTCTGAGTGACCGTGTGCCGGCCGATCATACAACCTGAAGACGCGATTCAATCCCGGAGCCTCAATGCGACCTTCCTGATTCAGCAAAGGATTGTGGGCCGGCACGGCGTGACTCGCGAAGACCACGACCCGGTAGTGGCTGCCCTGCACTGTGTTGAAGGTTTGGGAGACTGCGCCGTGGAGAGACAAGAATGAACGACCATCTTGAGCGATGTTACTCTCCGAAGCTTCCACACTCACATCACTACCAGGTTCAACCTCCCAGTGAGGAACCGGGTCCTGCCCCTCCCTCCCTTCAAAGGATGGGTTCGTGAGGAGGTTCTCCCCAAGCTGGATGTGTTCCAGCGGCTCGGGGGCAGAAGTGTCAACAACGAATCCATCAGAGGTGACAATCACAGACTGCAAGCCAGCGGCATCTACTGCTGAGACCTTGGAGTAATACCGAATTCCTAAGAAAATGAAGAAGGTAATCATGTAAAACGTTACCGGTACATTTTGTCCAGGTTAAGAATTCTGCAGGGTGTAACTTGGAATACAAGGCCATGAGAAGCAACACCTTTTTTGAAAACCCTTAGTGTCAATGTTCTTAGCTTGTAGAAGTAAGAGGAGTCGCATTGGAACCAATTTGAAAGTAAAAGATGCTCAGAGGTGCAGAGGCACAGACATTTTATTTCCCCTTTAAAAATTCCCAAGGCAAAATATTTCCTGACCAAAGTTAAGTGTCGGAGACATGGAAGGGCAAATGCGCAGAGGCAAAGTAACAGATGAGTGACTGAACAGCACAGATGAAAGGCCACTGATGATTGAGCGTCATGGGATACGGTATGCTGTATTGGACACGTGAGGGAGCTTTAACCCTTTGCACAGGCAACCTTGCATCTTTGCCTACACAGAGGTGACATGTATGAGCAGACCTGCATTTAGTGTTTCTTCTGCAATTACAGTCGAATCTCGTTAGTACAAACTCTGTTAATACAAAATTCTGGTTATAACAAACATAAAGCCTTAGTCCCGACTGTGCATTTATGTGCACAATGAATGGGATTGATGTTCCTCTTAATACAAAATTCTGATATAACAAACAATTTGGCTAGGTCCGAACGAGTTTGTATTAACGAGACTCGACTGTACACCACAGTGCACAATTCCACAATTCTACTGATAAACAATAACCTTCTGCGAGAGGAACAACTAGAGTTCTGGAGGAAGACAGATGGAGTCCAACGTCGGTACAGGGCAGAATGCCATCGTCTTCAGGGCTAGGGGTCTGTCCAACGCACCACTCGTAATGGTCTATGAAGGATTCCAGATCCACAAAGCCATGCCAGGAGGCCGAGATAACCGTGCTAAAGTTCTGGTACTCGACATCGTGAAGACCTGGAATAAAGAAGTGGAGTTCAGAATAATGGATTTAAAATAACTGCAGAGTTTTAATCAAGTCCTCATGAGTCAATTGCTCGTCATCTAGTCTCGCGTCAACACAACTCACAAACTGTGACAAGAACATTTTCCTTTATTTGCTAATCCCCTGTTACTTTTTTTTACCTTGCTTGTGATTTGACTTACTAACTTAATGTGGCAGAAAGTAAATATCATAAGTGGAGTGCTGTGGCCTTGTGGTTAAGGGCATCGGATTCGTGGTCTGCGGGTAATTAGCTGCAGGTTGTGGGTTCGAGTCAAGTCTGGGGTCATGGTGCGTGTGCCCTTGGGCAAGGCACTTTGTCACTCATTGCTTCTCTCCACCCAGGAGTAAATGGGTACCTGTGAGGGCAGAGATGGTTATTGTGATTGAATCTAGCTTCCTTGCTCCTAACGGGCAGCATTGAGCTGTATACTCCCCAGGAAGCTGAGGTGGTGTTAGGAATGTTTCATGGGCCCAATGAGCAGGGGTAATAATGATGTAGCCCCGTGAGTGCCTGTACCGGGTGGATACGTGCACTGTATAAATACCCACTATTATCATTATTAATGACAACTGTGGCTAAGTTAACTAGGTTGAGTTTGGGAGTTTGTTTTGCCTTGAATCTATTGAATTTTCAGGGACAAACGACAACGAACATTTTCTTCCTCCAAGCTGGGCTATATTTTATAAAACTGCTTAACAGAAACTAGCGATCAGTAAATGTGTCAAGCAAAACTCAGCCGAGAACCAATAGCGAGACATTTCGGATAGTTTTTGCTAGACAAATATTTCTGCACATTATACAGGCTTTCAAGCAGACTCAGGTGTAAAAGTAGAGAACAGTAGAATCAAAATTTTCACACAAAAAAAACAGGACAAAAGTAAGACTTTGGAGGACAAAATCAGGATAAATGTAGAACTTTTGCAGGCTTTCAGGAGTAGTTTTCATTGAAACTCACCCATGTCCACAGCGTCATTAGCCTCATTTGACATGTTCTGTACTCACAACACTTGTGCTCCATACTCAACTAAGCTCTTGGAAGTACAGTTGCAGTACTCCTGCGCCCAAGCCCTTCATTGTGTGATTTACATATGACAGTGTATGAAAAATATTCAATGAGATTTCTTTTTTCAGAGTTGTGGGACAAAAAAGTAGGACATGTATTTGTACACTAGTTTTACACTGGCAAAATTTAGGAGCAAGGTAAAAAAAAACTAGGAAAACGTAGGAAAAGTAGGAATACTCAAAAGCCTGATTATACTTCTTTGCTGGGTTCTTTGTTTTAATCTTCAAACTTACACCAAATAAGGGAGCATGTACATGTGTTGCAGACAGGTTCAAGTGATGACAGGTTGCAAAGGTATACTAAAAATTTAATGCTTAGAAAAGGAAAAAGTACCTATCCCATCATACACTACGCCAGGATGTGGTCTTTCTGTGTCGACCACAAAGCCATCACTGCTTCTGAGCGTGTGCAGACCGGCTTTGTTGAATGCCCGCACGTTGGCATAGTAACGCTGTCCGCTACGGAGGCCCAGATCTGCCAAACCGGTTGTAAACTCACCGGCTGGTAGGGTGCGATTTGAAAATGGGCCAATGTCTTCCCCTGAAATGAGGACAATTACATGAGAGTTCAGGGTGTGTCTTCTGAAAATGGATTTTCAAAATGTCACAAAATGTTCCAAAATATGCCTGTAAAGCTCATGGAATATGACACAATTTGAAAATTAAAACACTTCAAGGATAAGAAATAAAAAGACATCAAAGATATTGAACACAGGAATATAGAGCTACTAAAACTTTGATTATATTCTCCTACATCAATCAAAATGATCATATGTGTGTATTTATCTGAAAATGAGAACGTAAAAAAACACCAAAATGATGGGGTTTTTTTCACAAATTTTCAACATACATGTAGCATATAGCATGACTTGGTCTATTGTTACCAGAGCAGGTCATGAAAACAATTCAATTTGAATGACCTCTGTTATTACGGAAAACAGCGGCATTCACCGGAGCAGTGTACATGGGGGGGGGGGGGTGACAACTTACAATTGATTTTAAAATCATCGTTTTGATTTTGTGTCTGAAAAATTTCTACACTGCTGCCAAACAAGGCCACAGTGAAAAGCGCCACCTAGTGTCAGATTGTTTCCAGTCTAATTGATTGGAACAGTGTTTTCTAGTGCTAAATTAAGTCCAGCAAATCCCCACACCCCCAACCACACTAAATGTTAATAGTCCGCATCAGAATGACTTGTCAACAGATGTTCCCTCTGCCCAATACCAATGGGTCAGGCAACCTCAGCTGTTAATGGGAAATGAGACACTTCAGCATTACCTCCTGGATATATGCTGAGAGACACTTGGTAGTGGGACATCGCATCGTCTCGGAACACTCCCTCCCAGGAAATGAAGATGGTGTTAGGGTCCGTCAAGTAGTCATCATCCTTGCGTGAGTCAGATCTCGCAAGATCTTTCACCTATCACACACAGGAGTACGAAATGCTTTATGCACTTGACTACAACAGTGCATGATGTGCACCGATCAAAATTCCTATCTGATCCAGCGTTGTTAAACCTACGTTTGAATCTAGTGCCAAATTTGGTTTTCACCTCAGCATGCTATTGACTAAATTAAACAGATTTGGTACCGAAAAAAATCATGTTTTTTTAGGTTCACCGTTGGTATTGAATATCAACATCTTGCTTTTGTTATTTAAAGCTGTTGTTTCTTGAACTGTTCAAAAAATGCTACAACAAATGATCATATGTTCCTTGAAAGGTAGAGTCCATCATTTGTCATTTGTGCATTTTTTTTTTTCGTTCGAAGCAACAAAAGTGTTCAAAATCTAAAGAAGGGTCCTTAATCTCAGATAAAACTTATGTGTATCACACTATAGTATGATTTACCAATGAGATACCTTAAAACTTGAAGCCGTTGAGACTTTTGGTGGCGTGACGTCAGGTGTGATTCCATCCGATCTGAATACCGCGTAAGTATTGGCATCATACCAAGCACGGACGAAGAAATAGTACTGAACTCCTTTGGTCAGTTTTTGGTCTGAACGAAAGGAAGAAGATAAACAAAAGAATAATGATGTTATGTACTTACATATAAAACTCTTTTTTTTTACATGTAAAATAAACTCGAGAAGCCCCGGCCAACACTACATGTGGATTGTTTTCCTTTTCCAATTAAGAAAAGCTTTCCAAATCCACTTGGTTAAAGTAGAAGAATATCATGCAACAACTCAACAATTTGCTTTGGAATACAACTGAACAATCCAGCCCAATGTTCACAGCCTGTTAATTTGTCACCATTCAGGGGTGCTCTGTTGATAGAGCACCTGTATAGCGTTCTAGAGATTGCAGGTTCAATTTTCAGTAATTATGTATTCAACTTAACCCATTTAGGCCTGTACTATACAATAAATTACATTGTAATGGTCACTGAAGAATCCATGAACGTATAGCATGCTCAGGTGGTTTGGGGCACTCAAGGAAGTTAAAAGGCAGGGTAGTTTAGGGCGGTACAGGGATTAATGGCTTAAAATTGACTACCCATTGAGCTGGTCAGTTTTCAAGATGCTTTAACCCAATAAGCCTCTGTACTGTTGACATCACACTTTGTTTACATGTGCACTATCCTGTGGAGCCAGTGGGGGCCCACGGTCCACTGAGGAAAGCACACACGTAAACAAAGTGTGATGCATCAGTACAGAGGCTTATAGCACCTGTACCACCCTAAACCACCTTCTTGATACTCCCTGTACAGCCCAAAACTGCCCCAGCACTGTATGGCTGTATGGATTCATCAGCGAATAAATACAATGTAACACAATGTATAGTACAGGCACTTAATAACATTGGTTCCTGTATGACACACTTACCTTTATTAAGGGTGATGACTGTGTGATTATCTTGTCCGGCATCAAACCATATCTTCTCCATGGCTGGATCAAAGACGCCTGCCGGTTGACTGGGTGTAGACGAGTCGTCACCTATACTGCACTCATACCTACCAGATAATATTTAAAATTCACTTATATTTTCCCAAACCTTCCCCTTGATGAAGGGTGTAGTTCTGTTGAGACTGAGGCTGCTGTAGTATAGGATTTTGCAATACACCACAAATGACAACTTTAACATGACATGCTCTCAGCAAATCAAGAGACAGAATAGAATGTGCGATTTAGGTTTACTACTAACATGTAATGTACATGTTCTATATTCTAGGTGGTTTTTTTGTAATTCCTTACTATCAATAATGTAGCGTTCATGAAATGATATGCAAATTTTATCAACATCAGTCTTGTAATCGATATTAATTGTCCATCAAAACTCACCACTTGATATCCAGTCCTTTAGGATCACTGACTCGCCACACTGCAGCCATCATGTACTGAGTGGCAGTGTCATCAATATCAATTCCATAATCAATACCATCAAACATGACATCGAGGACATCTAGAACTTCAATCTCTGAATTGGGATTGCCTTAAGAAAATTTAAAAATAAATAACAGAGATTACCAAACAATTCAAGATGACTGGATAATTTTGTTATGGGGGATCTCTGGTGAACGGTTAACCTGCATGTTGCCTCAGTGCTCAAAAACTAGGGCACTGAGTGGCCTACAAGAAAGCACAAATTAATGAATTCATACTTGTGTTATTTCACAACAAATCAGGTCCCAATTCCATGGCTCTGCTAACCACAGAATTCCGCGCTAACGATCACCATTTTGTGCTAACCGCGCTAGCATCAAAATTCTGTGCTAACCCTGTAAGCACAGAATCCTTTACACAGAAGCCCAAATTCCTCGCTAACCCGTGAAATACGCTTATTTTTAAGTACAGAATTTTCTGCTATAGTAAGCAATGACAGGCTCCACGACGATCGCGATTTGCTGGCAAAACTGGTAATTTTCAGTCGCTACACTACAATGTATGCCACCTAAAATGATTGTGCCTGTTACGACATAATTTACTGCGCAAGTCGCTGCCTTATGCACTAGGAAACTTTTGTGAAATCGTCATAACCGAAATATTGCGCGGCGTGAAATGTTGCGCAACTTACGCAATATATTGTGGCGCAAGCAGAGTTGTGTCATTACGTAAACATTTGTGAAATCGACTGCTGGTGATCACGCAAAGATTGACTTTGTTCACATTCAGATGGGCGCATGTAGTGTTTCCAAAATGGAGAGCTCAAGCAAGTCACACCATGCTATCTATACCCTTCTTCAATACTTTAACTCTGACTCACTGTTGGAGACGTCATTACAAATCTCCGAACCCGTTGAACACCCTCGGTTGCTTTGGGTGCAAGCGCAGTGTCCCTCGCAAGTTGACACCACACAGTCCTGTAATGGAACAAGAGCGCCCTCTATTGGGGAGGTGGGAGAAGCTTCAAAGGCGGCGTGAAGACGAGCGCTTGAAATCCCAACCTGACAAAAAAAAATAACAAGTTAAAAACAATAAGCACAATGATACATTTTATTTCACGTTTCTAAGATTCATTTCAGATTTTCTGTTTCAATTCATAAATTTCAGACTTGCATATGATCTATGGCCTACTTGATACAGCTGTTATTAAAAGAACAAATTATAATTTAATATCTATCTTTCCGAAATCCCCTTTAATTAATTCTGTTTATGCATCAATGTTTTTAAAATTCCATAGCCTTAATGCTTTATTTACTTTTTATTAAACTGGAATTTTGAACTACAATTTGTTTTTATTCCCGTTATTTTAATGCCCAACATTTAATTTTTCGAGACACATACTGTACATGTACATGAATGCACACAGGTTTATTGTCTGAAGATGGCACAATACAAATTCAAAATCATTAACACTTTTTTTTAAGTTTTAAATTACCCCATTGACAGCCCAGATAGAGATGTATAGGTACGGAGGCTCAAGGTCTGTTATACTGCCCTCTAGAGGAAAGACAGCTGTCTGTAGGGTGTCCTCGTCTGTTGGCATGCTGTTGTTGTTCCTGTGATCAATGCGAACTGGTCCTCTCTGTTGGTGGACGAGAAATTTGCCTTTCAAAAATAATGAATTACGGTGAACTTTACAGATGGAATGAGGAGACCAAAAATATTCAATGTTTTGTTCAATTCAATAACATTCACATGTATTTCCATCAAAAGCAAGGTAAAAGTAAAAAAATTACCACAAGAACAATAAGTTGTTATATAAAGATGGAGGCATGATTTTGAAAAGCCCAAGCATATAAGGGGCGTGCCTTACATTAATGCAAATTGCTGTCTTCTACAATAGGAATACTGTGTAGGCAAACAGTCAACAAAACAGTTCTTGACAAAAGTTTGATCTATCGCAGCATTGTCATTAATCACAAATCCAGTCACAAGTAAAGCACAATATCAATCACAATTTGTAAGAGATGATAAACAATCGTGAAGGAATGCTTTTTTGCACATTTCATTTGAATAGCTTGTGAGCTGACTTGGGACTGGATGGCTTGTGATGGACTTGTGATATAATTGTCATGGACTTGTGATGGACTTGTGATGGACTTGTGATGGACTTGTGATGGACTTGTGATGGACTTGTGATGGACTTGTGATGGACTTGTGATGGACTTGTGATGATGACTTAAGGTCCTTAACAAGTACCTCGACTACAGCACTGATCTAAACAATACCTCAAGGGGAATAGTGCACAGATATTCAAAGACGAAATTAAACAGATTGTATTTTCAAAACTCCAAAAATAAATATAAAAGCTCAAATACACAAAACTGTACCGGGGTGAGTTCGGATCCGGCATAGGTGCGTCCGACAGAGATCAAGTAGTGGCTGATACCAGAGTGTACATCAGCAAAGCCCAGCCAGGCAAGGGCCAAGGAACCAAGGGACGTACGAGGGTCTTCCAGCCAAGTCATCCAGCCGGAGTGGTATGGAGACGGGGTGGTCGGTGTAGCTAATTCTGGCTGAATGGTACAACCATTAGCATTTGTATTAATTACAATGTATCATTTGTTTAATACAATGTATCAACCGCAGTCTGGGTACTGGGTACAGGAGGGTCATACCTCCTCAGGATGTTACCCCCATTTGTACCTAATTATTACAATGTATTGACTCTTAACAATTACTATGGTCACTATATCTACAAGTATATAGTACAGATGGAAATAAACAAACAAACATTGCACATACTACATTGTATTACACTGTAATAATATAAATCAAAACGTAAAACCATATAGTGCTGAGGCATATTTAAACCCAAGAAGTTTTCTGACAAGAATTTACCCCAAAGATTATAATTTTTTTTCAAGAATCTTTGATTAAAAAAGGGAAAATTTTCAAGAAGTGTGAATTTTTTTTGTAAAAAGGTAAAACTGCTAAAGGCATCGGCTGAATGCTTCACATTAAAGGCACATAGGCACGATAGTAAGTACATGCACCTTGAGAAGCATGTGTCGATTTAATGAGAAAAATCTCGCTTAAAGTGAAGATAGGGCTCGTCCCCAATACCCTGTGAAGTTACTTTGACAGAAATTGTTCTGATCGAAAGAACTAATTATTGAAACTGTTTTCTTTTTAAAGTGTGCCAACAGGCAGACTTTTTTACGTGCATCAGTAACAGAATCCATTTACGAGACCCCAAAAATCATGGTTTCCTCTGTTTTTATCAAAATGTAATTTTGAGCAATTTTGCTGCTTCAAATGGACAAAAAGTGAAGAGCAAAAATAAAATCATGTAACCTTATCGTCAACCTTGAGAATCATGACCCAAACGTTACGACTATAAACTTACTCCAGGGGAAGTCAGTTCAGGATTGGATGCACTCTCTGTGCCTGAGGCAAACCTCCCTTGTGAAGGTGGACTAGCGTCAACCTGTGCAAGCACCAAAAAGATTGGACTAAATTTCACAGCTATGCTTACTTTACGGAAGTTTGCTTAGAATGAAGCATATCTGCTCAGCAAAAGTCGGCTACCAGCCAAAAAAGGAATGCAATATATGTGGCTTGAAACTAAACACATAAGGCCGAGTGAAAAAAATATACCAGTTCTCATCCCCGCCCACTTCCTGTTTTCTCGGTCCCTGTTTTTTTTTTTTTTAAATCCATACATTTCCAGTATGACGTAGGCCGTGCAATTGTTCAATTACTAATGAATGCCGCGTAACCTCAATCCTCCAATCAAATGACAAGGATTTACTAGCGTGTTATATAACAACTTCCGACAGATTTGTGGATATCAGGATGGTGAATGTAGTGGATGCTACTTACCAATAAAGGTTCTGCCTTGCTCTCCGTGCACAGACCAGCATAGTTGCAGGCCGACACCGTTATGAAGTAACGGCTGCCATCACTTAATGTCAGATTAGTGAATGTGTGGTCCGTCTCGCTCCCAGCCACCTGCAAATGGAATGGATTTCAAATCAAAATCACCAAGTTCAAATCACAGAGTGGAACAAAATACTCCACTGAGCATTCAGGAAAGAAAAAAAGGCCTGGTGATAATTTTTGAGGGTAAAAAGCAAAGGTCACACAACTGTTATCAATTTTTAGGATCATGGAAAATACAGATTAAAGGGAAAATACAACATTTGCAAACATCAAAAAATAAAACTACCAAATCATTTTGAAATACCTTGCTGTACTGTTAGTGAATGACAGTGTAAAGCATCCTGTAAAATCATGGCACCTGGTATACTGTCATTTTCAAGAAAAGTGGTATTTTTGTATCAATTTCCAACGCTGATTGGCCGACCAGCGTTAGAAAAAAAACGGCTTTTTTTCAAATACTGGCTCCAATTGACCATCGCACTTGTTTGCTTTCGATTACACACCTATGAACGGGTACAAGCCAGCTAGACTGGTTCCCTGACCTTACAATTCCCCAATGTATGTAAACTGCTCTGTTTCTTCTTAAATGGAGTCAGGGAACCAGACTACAGGAAAATGATTGTTTTTCTTGGTTTTTATAGCATTTTTGAACCCAAAACCTCAAAAAAGTCAGTGTAACTATATTTGCTTTATATTTCCAACCCCCCAATTCCATCCATTTCTGAAAATTACAGCAAAAGCAAATGATGTATATTCCCTTTAAGCAATCTATTACAGAGGTTAACTACCTTTTTAGGTGGGATATTGATGTCTCCGTTACGATGCGTGCTGACAGAAAGGTATTGTTCTTTAATACCACTCTCTGGGTCTTGGAACCGCCAGGATATCCGAATGAGATCACAGAGAACCTGAAAAACAGATAAAAGCTATAAAATCATAAGTTGACTTGTTTAATACTGGCCGAGCTCATATTTATTCCCATTCATAAATAGCTTTTTGGTCAAAAATCAAAAGAAATCAACATTTTTTAATCTCTGATTTTCAACAATTTCACCTCAGGTTTTTTGAACGCCCCTCTAGCTATGTTATGGTATGTGCCTCTTGCGAGTAGTCCTCAACAACTTCTTATATGGAGATTGGCGTGCGCATGGTGCGTACCGGGCACTGCGCAATGTGGCGCAGAATGCAGCGGTACCGGTGTAGTGTGAATTTAGGACTCTCGAAATACGGATTCTTGGTAGTATTGCGCATGCCAAAGTGGAGATTGTGAACGTTCCAAACACCAATAAAAGGGTAAAAGGGACCAGATTTCATAGGAGTCCAAATTTCATGTGACACTGGAAAAGTGTTTAAAACCAGCCAGCCGGTGTTTTATCAACCGTTTAAGACCAGCCACATGACGGGCTCTCGACCAATAGGAATGGGTAGACTGTCTTAGGTATTTATGAATACAAACTAATACAATGTTCTGCAGGTGCTAATTGTTAGTTTAATGACATTTGATCATGAAGAGCATTGATTTAATTACCTGAGTATTTTGCACAGCCGTCCCAAAAGTCTCATCTACAGCAGGTGCATTCACCACATCAGGCAGGCTAGAGTCGACCCGGAACCCATTAGACGTAGCCTGACTCCACAAACCAAGCCGGTTATAGGCGCGCACCGTGACGTAGATATCAGTACCGATCGGCATCTGGTCTGAATCTGACAGGAATATCAGGGTGTCCTCCGACAGCTCGATGCGCGTAGAGGGGAGAATGTCCTCAGCTCCTGGTGTCGTGCCGGCGCACCATTCGTAGTGGGAGAGGCCTGAGTGAGGGTCATGGAAGCCCCACCAATGTGCTCGCAGCTGCAGCCTAGAAAAGGAACTCAAAATCTTTAACTTACATCCACCGATTAGCACAAAATCATGACTAAAGACAGAATTGCCATTAAGTAAGTGAGTCAGGTTGACTTCAAACTTTGCAACACAAAATTAACTCAAGACACAATTATTTCAGAGTGCAGGTTAACGGTAACTCAATTTATTTCTGCTTACTCTAGAACAAGAAAAAATTGCTTACACTTGTAATTCTATTTCACCCGCGGCCAATATTTAACTATGGATCGTACAAGCCAAATTAGTAGGTAAAAAGTGAAAAAAAATAATAAATAGCAAACCCAAAATAATAATAAATTTATCTACACACCTTTTCCACATTTGTCTTCGTTAGGGAAAATGTATTTGATTATTAAGACTATAACGTCTCCTGAGAAGAATTGCTCCCATTTTGACTGCATAAAGACCTTCCTTAAGCATTTTGCAGTCGTATGGCAATTTTATGCTTGGTTATTGCTTAAAAAAAAGCTTACTTTTACACAAAATGAAACGTCTGCTGGGCAACCTGTTAAGCATGAAAATGGTTCTTAAACGGCGCTCCGAAATTTGGCACAGCTGCTACAAACCGTACCTTGAAGATTGGAAGCTTATGTCACCACCCCCAGGACCGCCATCATACACACGCCCCACCACAGGGGGAGAATCATCAACCGTGACCCCATCAGAGGTCACTGAGGTACAAAGGTCAGCGGCATTACAAGCCGTCACTGTCACGTAGTAGGTCAGACCAGGCACTAGGTTCAGGCTATCTGCAGTTACACCTGGGAATATGTATAAACAATCAGGATTTGAAGGCTGTGAAACAAAGGGAGTCATTTGTTTGATTCCACAGAATTCGGACGTTTTATTACATTGTATGTAATTCCTGATGAATCTATTACAGGGAGTAACAGGCAGAGCAGTTGAGGGCAGTACTTGGTGAAGATATCTGATCTTGGAATAGCACTATTGACTTACATTTCCTAAGCACCAGTTAGGAATGGTTCGTATGTTCTGAGCAATTTATTTGAGGGAAAACTGGTGCCGTAAATCTTAGTAATATTAACCAAATGCAGGAAAAAGGGTGTAATGTCCATGTAATGTAATCGTTTGTAACCAGTTTTTTTTTTTTTAAATTGTGAAAGTTGAAAATCACAGGGCCCTGAGTGCTACACAAACAGAGGAAAGAGGAAAAAACTAAGTAAAACAGAAGTTTACAGAATAGACACATTAAAATATTGCAATGAATAAAATATGAATACTCTGTAACGTTCTAAAATAAATAGAAGAATCACAACTAACATAAACAATTACTATTCAGTGACCCCTTACACTTTATCTACAAATGCGTCATAAAGTCAAAAGTGTTTCTCAACTTCAGGGAAAGACTCTTTTGTACATTGTTAATTTTCATGGCACCACATTTAAGTAGTCCGTATTAACGATAATAAAAAAAACCAGCTGACTGGACCGTACTTGTTTCCAAGCCTACATGCTGCCGTGGCACAACGTCGCTGCATCCCGGACACGTCCCGGCAAACCACGAATAGCCAACGAGAGCGCTGTGCGGGTCATGGAACCCTTCCCAGGATGCCCCAATCGCCGTCCGGTCCTCCTGGAAGTCCCGGTCCCTGTGATTGGTCGATGGGTCTCCGTCAAAGACATGACCGGCCAATGGCGGGCTTGCGTCGACTACGTAGGCACCGAAGCTCTTGGATCTGATCAGCTGGACATGATCCACCGCCTAAAACATGAAGAAAATGTATTCAAACTTAATTGATGAAAGAAGTTACTATTTTATCAGGCATACAACTATAAATTCACCCCAAAAAAGGAGGAAATTCCAAAGTTAAGAAGACTTTGTAGTGTTTTTCAATTTTGAACGGCAGAATTGAGAATTAAAAAAGAGCTAGATATCAGCTGATCCGAGGAAAAGTTGCATGCCTGTTTTGTATTGCATTTTTATTACAGACTGTTTAACTTATCAAACAAAGATATCTTTCTAAATCAAATAATGAGCCAAAAGTATGTAATAAATTCCAAGACAGCATTTTTGTATGGAATAATGTAGGGAACTGTGTACAAAATTGAATGAGCATGAATATAAGGGTTGTAAGTACAGGGTCCAATTTCACGGTGCTGCTACGCACATGATTTTATGCTAAAAGAGCCTCCATCTATTTCTCACAGATCGCAAGTAATAAGCACTGTAAAAGGCATGCTGACCTCAAAGGAAAAAGTTGTTAAAATTAGTGTCAATGCAAGAGAAGTCACAATGCACGCACCATCGTTAGCACATCCACGCCATGAAATAGAGCTTGAGGTTTGCACAATTTTCTGCTACGGTCAGCACTTTTGGGCCTTGAAATAGAACCCAGACATGATGATGCAAAAATGAATTCAATGATGCAAAAATGAATTCTACAGCAAGTATAAAATTCAGATCTTCAAAATCAAAAATGTACATTGTATATTCACCTTGACAGTAATAAAGTATGAGTGACCCTCCTGCAGGCGTAACGGCTGTGATGGGTCACTCGTCCCAGACTCTGAGGTCTCTCGTGTGAACGGCATGATGTCTGCATGGCCTGGATGTGAACCCACGGCCCACTCGTAATATGCCACGCCGCTCTGCTTATCCGAGAATACATTCTCCCAACTGAGGATATACAACAGATAATGGAAAAACAGTACATACTTTGAACAAAGTAAAAGTCAAGTCTGTCACGAGCCAATATGGCCCATCAGGCTGGCATTTATCTCTGTTTTCCTTGCCATGAAACGACTGAGAATATCTTGACTCCCCCTGGATGGGATACCAGTCCATCGCAGTTTACTCCCCAGCTAATGCTGGTACCCATTTTTACTCCGGGGTGGAGAGAGGCAAGTTGGGGTGAAGCGGCTTGCCCAAGGACACAACATATAACCAGCAGCTGGATTTGAACCCCTGACCCTCTGATCATGAGTCACAAGCACAAATCACTAGGCCACACTCCCCCAACTCTTAACAAAGACCCTGGCAAATTACAGGGTTTGACATCAGAGTCAGTAGTAGGTGTGTACAGATGTCAGTTTTCATGATATGGTATGTAACACGATACTCCGGTCAGCAACCTTAAATTTCCTAAAACTGAAGCTAAAACTGAGGTCTTTTAAACCCAGGGCAGAGACTGTTTGCATTTCTGATGATAAAAATCAACTGCAATTGGCTCTAGCGCACCAACAAGAGAGGGCACTGTTTTTTCTATCATTTTCGAGAGCCCTGTCGATGTGAATGTGTACAAAGCCAAAGTGTCTTCGGCAGAGCATCAGGCATCATTATCATTATCAATGCGTCCAATGTCTCTCCCAGTAGTTTCGCCCAACCCTCCTTTTCTTACAGTTCAGGGGGTACATGTCTACTGATTCCAAAACAAAGGATCTGCAGAATTAAGGGCATGCATACTAGAAAGGAATCAAATTTAGTCACAAGCAACTAAGAAAGACACGGCCATGCAATATGTCATAGTTCAGTTGAATATCTTGTGACTTGACTTGAGACTGACAGACTTGTGATTGACAAATGATTTGACTTGTGATGACTTGATCATAACTGTGACATATTTGTCATTTATTCTGTACCTTGCTGACAGAGATGTAGTAGACCTAATGAAGCTGCCTCCAATGTTCAGAGTGAAGCTGTCATTGACGGCTGGAGGCATTGCGTCAATGATGATTGGGTCTGACGTCACCTCCGCAAATAGACCGACAAAGTCATAGGCTGAGTAAGGGGAAACAAATCAAAAGTTCTTTGTGATGGTATTTTGTATAGGCTTTGATAAATATAACAAAAAATTTATGATGGAAAATTGATTGAGTAGTTTGATTTTTTACAATCTGAGAATCGAAAGGAAAAAGAACTTTAGTGAACAGGCCAATGAAGATTGGGGAAAATCAATTGTGCCTGGCGGTGATATTTCAACCCTAACCCAATCATGATCTTTCAAATACTGCCAAAAGTTTTGAAAGATTTTGGAGGATCCAGGAAAGGTGAAGCCCAGCGACTATAACTTCATAAGGGGCTTGATTCCTCTTGGTGCTTGAATGTTCAATTCGTTACCTGAATAGCGGGGGAATTCTGAAGGTAGAAGATGGTTCCTAGCCGAAATCAAGTCGTAAAATTAAGACTTTGTTCAACTTTGCTGAATCCCACAAGAACCTAAAGTAAACGTTTTTTAATTTGAACGTTGTAAAGTCATGTCAAATTCTTCCCTTGGAATGAACTCTTACTTTTGTCTGCAGTAAATTCAATGTGTAAATATGCAGGAAAATAAACTAAGACTGACGTGATTTGAGTTGCAATGACAAATGAGTTTCTCACCTCTAACGGTGCCATAATATGAGTGTCCATGCTGCAGTCTCAGACTGTTGACGATAACGCTGTCCGTGAGACCAAGACGAGTGAAGTCAGTAACGTCGCTGCCACCCCGAAATGAACCTGACATAATTGACAGATTTCATTTATTATTATTGTTATTTTCATTATATAGCAATTCACAATATACACATGGTGTTTCACTTATTATCATTGTTTACTATCTTACCAAGTTTCATAAACAGTGATCAGTGCATTCCCAAGATCAGTAGGGGCTAGAATCCCCCCCCCCCAAAAAAAACAACTGTGCGATGGCTATTAACAAAAATGTTGGCTCTTTTAGGGCTACAAACAAACTTCCAACTTCAACCTGTGCCATTTCAAGTAAACTTTAATGAGAACTTGTGATCATAACTGATCATATAAGTAGTTCGCTATTTTTTTTAAACAATCTGAAACGTGCCAAGTACAATGAAGCACAAGCTAGAAATTTTGCAAATTCTGCTCATTCAATTCATTAAGCCTCCCTGATATTTTGGTTTTTTTACTACGCCTTTTTCTACATACAGAGACTGCTACCAGAATTTTATCCCACAGATATATAGAATCGTGTCTGTCTTACCGATGGCATATTCATAGTATTGGATCCCTGCATGATGTGATGACAGGCCGTGTTCCTCTTGGTCGGTGAATGAATCCCAGTGCAGCGCCAACTCCGAAGATGACCTCTGACAGAAGACAAAACAAAATCAAATAAACCACAAGGGAAAAGGTTCGCTTTTAATCAATAGGAGGTTATAGCCAAAGTAGTTGACTCAAGCGGGATTCGACTCTGCGTCCTCCAGAATATTGTACCGGCACTTCTGAGCACTGCCTCCGACTATCACCCAATGTACAAAAGGGCAATTCCACGGTTACTCACGTTACATTTTTGATGTACTTTTGAGTTTCCTTGGGCTGTAATTACCTTACTGAAAAGGTTTAATTACTGTTATCCCCATGGTAGATAGAGTAGACCTAGACCTACCTAAGCACCAAAGATGACATCCAGAAAAATGTGTTATGTATGATGTATGATAAACAAGACACACAAAATCAGTTACTCACGTTACGAAAATGTAACGTGAGTAACCAATTTTGTGCGTCTTGTTTATGATACAAAACACATTTTTCTGGATGTCATCTTTGGTGCTTAGGTAGGTCTAGGTCTACTCTATCTACCATGGGGATAACAGTTATTAAACCTTTTCAGTAAGGTAATTACAGCCCAAGGAAACTCAAAAGTACATCAAAAATGTAACATGAGTAACCGTGGAATTGCCCAAAAGCAGTGCCTTTTTTGTGAGACCACCAAATCAAAAAAGGCTAACAGCATGAGTTACAAAGACTGAACGCCAAAGCATGACTACCTGAAATGCTTGATGTTGTCCCCCGCCAATCGACACAGAGCCCGGGGTTGGCGGGGTGGTATCCACGACAACGCCGTCGCTGCAGCTGGACACTGAGGGCAGTGTTTGGTTCCACGTCTCATGTTGCAGGACGACTCGGTTGGCATGGATGCAGATACGATAACGGCTGCCGTGTTGGAGGGACAGGCCTGGGACATTGACATACTCTTTATCTGAGAGACGTGAAAACCAAAAATTACATCTTAGGAAAATAGTCAATACAAAAAATGCAAATTGTCTTCGGAAATTTGTAGAATTTTAGTAAACTCTAAGATATGGCCAGTGTCGATACTCTCTGACACATGTTCCACTGAGCAGATTTTGACCAGATCTGAAGAAAAGGCGTCTTACATTTCCCTCTCTGGCTGGCAAATTCATCAAAGCCATCTCAGCAGTCAAAATCAATCAAGTGACTGTTTTTAACAGTTGAGTGTTCCCTGCATATATAAAGCAGGATTGAGTGGCTGTGACTGTTTATGTATCTTGATACAGCTATGCTTTGACTAAAGGGGATGAACAAGCCAGTTGTGTCTACCAGTCACCTGCTTTTGTCTGTTGATGGAATTTGACAAATCACAGTGTTTTAGAATATGATCTGACTGTTGGTGCCTAGCATGTGTATAAAGGCGTGGCAGGGGAACAGGATTGAGTTTTTGACTGTCCATATCTGTGACTATTCAGACAGCAGGAGGGTTTAGGACAATTCTGCACTTATTAATTTTTCATATGCAGTGGGAAGTGCATAATATGCTCTTCATTTGAATAGATCTCTGACATCTTAATATCTGCAAATATTGTGTAGATGAAGAGGATGATTACCAATTGATTTCCATATTTTAAGATTCACCACAGCTGCTTTGAGTAATTAATTACTCAAAGCAGATCTGGTGACTCATTTTGTTGGGTCGAGTCACATTTGTTAGTTCCTTTTGTATAGAAATTCATTTTTGGAATCTGAATTTTTAAAATTTCAGAAATTTATGGCACTTTTCAAAAACGAAAATTTACAGGAAGTTTCTCTACAAGCAGATTGATTTCTTTTGCATAGGAGCAATTCCAGCATAATATGAAAGGAAGTGCATCGTCCGTGACAATGCCAATTAACCGTGTCTTCTAATTAATGATTCACAGAAATGATCCAAAACTCCTAGATGATGGATTTATAAGATGTGGAAAAAATATCAGATTTATTCTTGGAGCTCTTATAAAAAGCTCTGTTATGCACCTAATTTTTGAAAAATTTTAAAATTTGAGAAATTTATGAGAACTTTAGAGATCAAAACAATTGATGTGTCGGAAGAAAACAGCTTCCCTTCCCTACCTGTCTGACCACACGCCTTTTGCATCGGGTGATCACAGGGAAACTGCAGACCATCGTCCAAGTTTCCAAACTCCGTCGTTCCGATGTCCTCAATGGCCGCCCAGACGTAGGCCCTGTGGCGCAGCTGCGGCCAGACCGCTGACAGCGAGGTTGTGGAGGAGATGTAATCCTTGTCTGGTTCGTGCCACGCAGCGTTCTGCTCCAAATGAACTTCATCTGTTCCAATTAAACAGAGCATCTGATCTACATTCTGTTTCAAATGCAGTTATCAGATTTGGCCCAATTTCATGGCGCTGCTTGGCATTTGGGGGGGGGGGGCAGAAAACCAGCTTACCATCTAAACTATAATGTGATGAGCATTGCCATTGACTGGTTCTCAAGAATTTTCAATTTGTATGTTTTGTTTCAACAGAAAAAAACTACTTCATTCCGATTTTGGGTGTCTGTAACCCTCAGAAAAGGGGCTTTCATTTTTCGCACAAATGAACTTGCCCTATGAGAGCCCAAGTATTGTCTGACAGCCAACTCTTCCAAATTTGGGAATAAATAATTCAATAAAATATAAAACGTTAGTGGAATTTTTTGTTTGTTCGATGTCTCATTCAAAAGTGAATGACCTTTAAATTCTCTGACATTTCTCAGGCGAAGACGAGTTCCTGAGTATTTCAAGGGCCAATTCAGACATCCTCGTAAAATTTTGTTAATCAGTGATTGCCCACAGACTTGCACAGGAACGCCTTGTGGAGAAACATGTGTTCTTAGGTGCATCGTTTAAGTGGGCTTCAATCTCTGCTTCTGGATTTAAGAAATGTTGGTTATGTTTTATCTTTGTTATATAAAAAGTATATCTTTGTTAAGTATATCTTTGTTTTGTGCATGTATTTTAATGTTTAGGCTTTTTTTATACTTAATCATATTGTGTTTTAAATACAAATGTATTATATATTTTTAAAAGATCTTATGTTCACATGTACAATTCAGTTTTTTTTAACTGCGAGACATGTTTTTAATCAACCATTATTGAATTGAATTTAATTTAATTTACCTACTATCCATCTCTGGTAAAACCAAATGAGTTTAAAGAAAAAAAACTTGACTCACGATCTGCATCAATAACATCGTGGGGAGTGGAAAGACCAATGCAGTCAGGAAGGTTGGTGGTTGCGATGGAGGATAGGCCAGCTTTGTTGAAACCTCGCACGGACAACCGGTGGCACAAACGAGGGTCCAGGTGGCCATTGTATGAAGCAGTGAAACGGGCCTTTTGATAAACAAAAAATATAGGCATAAGATCAGTTCAGAGCAATTTCAGAATGCAATGGATGTTCCATTAGGCAACATCCCATGATGGTTCGATCAATCACAGCCACAGGGCAAAGATGCTGACATTAGTAGGCATTCACTTTGCTGTTGTGAGTAGGCAAAACAGCCCCCCATGAGATGCCAAACAAAACAAAAATACAAGCCCTTACTTACCCTTTCCCCGCTAACCAGTAAACTCTCAGCAAGTTTCCAATCGCTCAATACTGCGCCACCCTCCACTGCAATATTCCACTCGTAGTGATCCATCAAGGCGAGCTGGTCTTCATGCTGGATGTACTCATGAATGAACGGCTGGAAGACCACGCTAAGCTCTGTACTGCTGTCTTCTGTTGCAATGTCGCTGATCGTGACCTCGCCGACCTCTGGAGGTCGGGATAACACCCAGAATCCATCGCTGGCAATCGGCCGGAAGCAGACACCATCATGGCAGAATTTGACCTGCAATTAAACAGGTTTTACGATACTCTGTTGTTTTGTAGTTTTTGTTATCGGACAGCAAACCTGATATTGGAAGTACTTTGGATCAGATATGCAAATATGTGACATCACAGAAAGGTCTAGAGAACAGCACCTCTGTCTTGTTTCACATCAAGAGCTTATGGACCAATTTTATTATATTCTGTTGGGCCATGTGGAGGCCTAGTCTATGTAATAGACCCTGGCCCTGGCGAGGCCGTTCATGGTCTATGATACGTAAACAGATTCACCGATTAATTATGCAACTAGACTGCGTATGACCTTGAGAAACTGACCAATCAGCAGCGCCTTCTAATGAGCGTGTAATGCGAGCTCCCTGCATGCGTAAACAGCACACCCACGATGAGTGACATTTTTGTACAGGTTGTTGTTTACAAAAACGCGGCATCCAAATTGACCAATCACAATCTTAGTCCTGATTTTGGAATGAAATGACGTCAGGCATGCTTAGATATATCAGACGTTGTACCGCAGATGGGCTGCGGGTGATGGAGAACGGGTGATACCCAGACTAATTGAGGCCTTGGGGAATTGAAGAAGAATTTGATTTCATACCTTAGATCTGATGTGTGTTCCGTCGTTCATCCCTACACTGGCCTCAACATGATGGAAGGCCATGCCAAGGTCTTGATAATCAAGCAATGAGACCCAGTCCATTGTTGATGCACCATTGCCTACAACAAAAAATACAGTTTACGACCAATCAGAAGGAATGCATAAAAAGTAGTTGAAACTGATTTCTGTACCTGTTTTTAGATTTTTATACAACGCCTGAATAAATCCCCGTCATCCAATTGGTGGGTCGTCGATCACGTGTCATTGAATTATTCGTCCCAACCCATGGCCACCCGCACCTCAAAAATAGAAGGTCTATTCAATGATGAATAGAAGTTCCATTGCACAGTTACACTATTGGTGGCTCTGACCAGTCAGATGATGATGATTTATTCAGGTGTTGTTTGAAACAAATGATGAATGTTTCAGATTGGTGCAATGGAAAGAAAAGTTTCATTCGGTGACAGGTGGAATGGAACATTCCATCCGTCACCTCAAGATATTATTCTTACCATTGCACTCATAAAAATTCATTTTTTGTACAACAGTAAACACATCATAATGGGGGTTGGGCTTTATTTCAACCTTTTGTTCCATTTGGAATGCTACATTTTAGGAAAGAATCTCATGTAAATTGGCCATTTCTGCCACATATTTCCAAAGCTACTTTTGAGTTTTTGCAAAAGCATAATCCCGATTTTCAATATTGAAAAACCTGGCTTTTTATCAGGTTGTTCTGATTGTCCAAAAGATGTGTTCTCATCTTGAAAAGACGAGTGAGATTTTCATGTAATCCTGAAGTGATGCTTCAATATTGTGTGCAATAAATCGTACAGAAAAAAAATGGGGAAAAAATCTTCCTGAACCTCACCTGAGAAAGTATCAAGCTCTTGCTCAACTGCCCAGAGGATGTTAGTCACATACGGCTGCAGCATCTCAGAGATGGTCCAACGAGCTGAGATGTCTGAGGTAGAGGACTGGTAGGTGGTGTCATCCTGACAAGGTTGGCCAGCAACAGATGAGTGGTGGGATAATCCTGATGGAACAGACACTGCAATGAGGAGGCAAGAAGCTGTGAATGAAGAGAGAGGAGGGTGGGATCTAGAGGGATGGTCCAGCGAGCTGAGATGTCTGAGGTAGGGGACTGGTATGTGATGTCATCCGGACAGGGTTGATGAGCAACAGGTGGGTGATGGGATAAGCCTGATGGCGCAAACACTGCAAGGAGTAGGCAAGAAACTGTGAATGAAGAAAGAGTAGGGAGGGATCTAGAGGGATGGTCCAACGAGCTGAGATGTCTGACATAGAAGCCTGGTAGGTGATGTCATCCTGACAGGGTTGATGAGCAACGGATAAGTGATGGGATACTCCTGATGGCGCAAACACTGCAAGGAGGAGGCAAGAAACTGTGAATGAAGAGAGAGTAGGGAGGGATCTAGAGGGATGGTCCAACAAGCTGAGATGTCTGAGGTAGAGGACTGGTAGGTGATGTCACCCTGACAGGGATGATGAGCAACAGATGAGTGTTTGGATAAGCCTGATGGCGCAGGCACTGCAAGGAGGAGGCAAGAAACTGTGAGTGAAGAAAGAGTAGGGAGGGATCTAGAGGGATGGTCCAACAAGCTGAGATTCAGAGGTAGAGGACTGGTAGGTGATGACATCCCGACAGGGTTGACAAGCAACAGATGAGTGATGGGATAATCCTGATGGCACAGACACTGCAAGAAGAAGGCAAGAAACTGTGAATGAAGAGAGAGTAGGGAGGGATCTAGAGAGATGGTCCAAGGAGCTGAGATATCTAAGGTAGAGGATTGGTAGGTGATGTCATCCTGACAGGGTTGATGAGCAACGGATAAGTGATGGGATAATCCTGATGGCACAGACACTGCAAGAAGGAGGCAAGAAATTGTGAATAAAGAGGGAATCAAGAGTAGAAAGAGATCTAGAGAGATGGTCCAACAAGCCGAGATGTCTAAGGTAGAGGCCTGAAAGGTGATATCATCCTGACAGGGTTGATGAGCAATGGATGAGTGAGGAAATAATCCTGATGGCACAGACAATTCAAGAATGAAGCAGACACTTCAAGAAGGGAGCAAAAACTGTGAATGAAGACAGCTGAAAGAAACATCTGAGCAATGAGACAATGAGAAACACTTTCATTTTTAGAAAAGAATGAAGCAGATAAGAAAGGAAAAAAAGAAAAGAAGTGAAGGCCTTACTTGCATCTTGATCACAGCCCAGTCCATCCTTGATCACAGCTCCCTCCAGTGCCTGACCCTCCTGAATGACTTTGACACCATCTGAAGTAACGTTGACGCTACCGGTATCAGAACTGGCACGGACGGTCACGTAATAGGTCTGTTGATAACGAATGGAAAGAAAAGGGTAATAACTGAACGACAAAGGACACTTTTAATATTCGTTTTATTAAAAAATAGATTTAATCACAAAAGTTTATGAAGAAACCTAAGCCAGTGACGGAAAGATGGAAGTGGCGATGAGCAACTCTACAAGGCAATATTACAACCAAAACTTTATAGAGATCTGTACGAACATCAAACTACAACCCCCATGCCCACCCCCAAGGAGAAAAAAAAGAACAACTGAGATCAAGAGAATGATACTAGAAGATGTCAGTGGCTTTCAAACTTGAAATGGATTCTAAAAATATAAAGCCCTTTATTTAATTTGTAAAAGTTTCAACAAACTGACTCAAGAGTTTCGGGGAAGACCATCTCAAAAACTTTCCAAAACCAAGTCAAGAACTGTTTGAATTTTAACCCCTAATTACCGTGAGTGGTGTCAGAGCCAGTCCTTCCAGTCGGTAGAAGGTTGCATTGCCGACGTCGATGAAACCACCGCTGACATCAGAAGCACCTCCTTCTGATCCGACGGCAATCTCATAGTTGATAGCAAGATGAGGATGCTCAAAGCCAAACCAGCGGGCTGAGATGCTTGTGGTGTCCGTCTGAACGTCAATATCCTTGGCGACCTGTTCAAACAAGAAGGAATAATCCCAAATCACCTTGAACAGGGCTAGGCTTACCTATTCAAGCCGGACCCGAAAGCTGGACATCCTGAATCAGCTTATTTGAAAAACAAACCAAAAAAGCAGCCAATTTCAAGCGTAGAAATGTGTTAGGTAAAACAAACATGCTGCAAGCCATAATGTCATCTGATGTATTCTACTCCTGAATTTGTCTCAGCTATTTTTTTGATCTGCAGGTAAACGTGTTAGTAGTTCCATGAAATACTGCACATCGATGAAGAATTACACAGCCGTGTCACCAATGCATAAATATTCAGTGTGCAGTTTTGACAAGAATCTTAACAGTTAGCCAGATTCTCATATTGCTCTGCGCAATAACTTTTACTTTTGGGGGCACAGTATGTAATACATCATCCGAGAGATGAGAATGTTTTTGCAAAGTTATGACAATTTGCCCATGATGAACAGATCATCTGTTTGTCCACAGAGAATACTTGTGAATCTTTTGAGTGTCTGAATTTCAAACTTAACCCTAACGATCCCCATCCAGCCAAACTCCAACACAAGGGTTTGGTGGAGTCCAACTGTTTATGTGTACAGTTTAATACCATATGGTGTTGGAATTTGCAAGGATGAGGAAGGCTCCTAGTAAATCACTCCAGGGGGTTAAGTTATTACGGGGTTCAATGTCCTAACCACTTTGAAACACATGTGCACTATTTAAAGTTACGAAAATCTTGCATACCCCTAGAGTGACATCTGCTGCTTCTCCAAGAGGTGCGACATCCAATACAACACCCACAGACGGCAACTGCACGATGTGTCTATAGACAGATGAGGTCCCCACCGTAGCTAACCCAGCGCCATTCTGTGCTCTGACCGACACGTAATACTCATGATCACCATGGAGACGCCAGCCTAGATCATCCAATGAGAACGCAGCGCAGGAGGTCCGCAGTTGACAGGGGCCAACTTTCAGGTCGTCTTGAGCTTGATAAGGGAATGTTTCTGTACCGCCAGGGCTGTGTCCTGAAATAGCACATGCCAATAATACAGTTATGTACATCAAACACTTACACATACACATGATGGGTGTTATTCTTGCCATATTAGCAACACCAAAATCAGATTTTTGTTTGTAATATTATTGAAAAAAGGTATTGTTAGTAAAGAGTACGTTGCTCAAGATTCACAAGTCCTCCATGAGTAGTCCGAGTCATGACAGTCGAGTCCCAGCACGAGTCCAAGTCAACTATGATGACTCCATTCAAGTCTGAGTAACCGAAATTGTGACTCGAGACGGACTCAAGCCAGAGTCCTGGACCTGAGTAACACAACTCTGATAATTTTCAGAACAAGCTTTTTTCTATGGAATCTGCGCACAAGTCTCAGTTCAATGGTGCAAATGACACTCATATGAAGATGCTATTGGTCTGTGCACATTCAGATAAAAAAATGCTTGTGCGTAAATGCTGTGTGTCTGATACATGCAGCTCTCGTGCGAAGATCCACGTCTTCACTGCAATAGTTTCAATGCATACCCACACCCTCAACGAAGCAACTATAAATAATCAACACTATCTAGGTATGATTGACTTACCGATGGCAACTTGGTGTCTCAGACTGGTATCCTCATCATCAATGAAGCCACTATCTCCCCATTCAGCAATCAAGTATTCATTCTCCACATGGACAGAGACACGCCCACCAAACATGGGCGGGGTGGTATCCACTATGACTGGGCCGACAACCTTATATGAAACAAGATGAACATTTTCATAAGAGTGATAACCATTTAGGCTCTTCCAGATTTTTCAGGATTACATTGTACTACACAAAGCTTTCCTGTGTACTGCCGAGTATTCAATGCATAGTGAATGACAGTTAAAAAAACACCTTAAATTGAAATTCTCAATTTTTTCTTATTAAATGTTTTTATACATACCTTGATGGTGGATGCTTGAGCCTTGTTGACGGCCTTCAGAACCAGATAGAACACGTTTCCTTGGCTGATATGGGGATGGTACATCACAAAGTGATCGTGACCTGACGTTGACCTGAAGGTCACGAGGTCAGGGGTCGGGTTTGAGGGGTCACTGCTCAGACCGATCTCGTAGTCATAGATTGAGCTCTCTGGATCCACTCCAGTCCAGGATATGGTCACCTGGCAGGTTTTGTTTTGGATAAGGAAATAACAAGGAAAACGTAATAAATAAAATAAAAAGTAACAAATGTTCATTTTCAGATTCTAATAATGCAATGTCATCAAACATTGTGTATGTGTGGCCATCACATACAACCAAACACTCAACGAGTTACCTTGTTTCACTTGCCTGTACATGCATTATGCATTACAATACTCTAATGTACAGAAATATTAAGGACAAAACAACTAATTAAACTTAACGTTTTTTAACTTCCCTGAATCCTCTAAATCCTCAAAAACTCGAATTTTCTCCAAAAATCTAAAGACATCTTGCCTTGAGCAAAAATTGATGTGGCGATGGACAAACTGAAAAAATGGCACTGAACTGCAATTCATTCTGCAATTTTTCCCCTCTAGAAAAAGAACTGGCACTGGATTTTCATGTTCTGACTAAGAGGACTGGTATTATTCGAATCAATCTCAAGCACAGATAACACTTATCCAATGAGTTTAAAGTATTAGGTCATTGCTAGTCCAGTATTGAGTAACAGGCCAAATGAAAAATTGTTCAAATGAATGACTGGTACATGTGACTTCCCTTGTGTTTTCGCTTGTGATGGGCTTGTGATTGCATACTTGGTTGGCTCTTCTCCTAAGGACTTCCACAAGGGAGTATAACTAGGAGGCCAGAAACACCGGGGCAAACCCTTTCTCTTTGCAATAAGTGTTACTGGGTTCTTTTACGAGCGTTAGGCCTTATACAACACACGGGACCTCCGGCTTAACGTCCATCCGAAGGACGAAGCAATAATGGTTGAGTGAATTGCTTAAGGGCACAAGCGTCCGGGCCCGGGTTCGAACCCATGCCACTGTTGCCTCTGAAACACCAGAGCACGAGTCCGGTGCTCTTATAACTGCTAGGCCATGACACACCATGGCTTCGTTACAATCTTGATGAAAATCTAATCCAATGCTTGAAATAGTTCCCAAACAGTGCAACATGGCCTATACTTACATGCTTATGGGTCGGAAGGAAAACTCTCTCTTCAATACCCTGGAACGTCTGGCAGTTGATATGTTGGGGCCTTGCCTTAGAGGCGGTTACGTCAGGATAAACGGACAAATCGTTGACAGGGGTGGCTATCAAACTGTGGGAAACAAAATCCCATGAATAATGAAAGGTTTGCGGAAACACCATGTGCGAATAATTTCTCAACTAAGAGAATGGTTCTGAATAGAACCAGAGGTATAAACTCGACGTTCCGGTCAGTATGCTCTGACCGAAAGAACCAGAGGAGTTTATACCTCTGGTTCTTTTCAGAACCATTCTCTTAGTTGAGAAATTATTCGCACATGGTGTTTCCGCAAACCTTTCATTATTTAGTATCTCCACCATGCAAAGCCTCAAATCTTACTTAAAATCCCATGATACACATTATAAGAGCACAAGATCAGACACAAACTATATGTTTTGACTATGACAGCTTGACTACTCTTATCGACCTGAGATACTACACTTAGAAGATTACATATTCAATGAGGGTTCATACTTGACCCAAATGCTGACAGTAAATGCACAGTTTGTGGCCTCGAGGCAAGTATTCCTGCTGGGAAGTTTCAAAAGGTGAACGCATTTTAACAAATTTCTACTACAAACTTCCCTATGAATATGTTGTAACACCAAATTCTCTTTGCACTTGTGTGAAGAAAGAACTGACCTACAGTATTTAACTCGTGGTGTAACTCATGTTTATGATTTTGCAAGTCAAAATTACATGGAATCATTGAATCAAATCAGCAGTGTACAAAATAAATGGGGCTGTTCTGAAAAGTCTAAGGCACCTGTACCAAGAGTGGCACCGATTCAAAGTCAGAGTGGTTTTTTTTGGACTTTACATTTCCCTTGAAAAAGAATCCTCCAAAGCCTTGTAAAATGAATGGGGCTGTTCAAAACAAAGTTTAAAGTCCAACCCTTGTATCCCAGAGTGTCTCTGCGGGTCCAGAACCAGGCTTGATGGGGAAGCTCGCAGCCAGCTACGAGGCTGATGTGCATGTATAGTTGGCAAGGTATTCTGCAATTGATGTCCATTTGGTTTGGACACACATGTAAAAGGCTTCAAAAAAATCCTGAGGAAAGATTTTAAGCTAAAACTGGAGGCAAAGCAAGATTTTGAGAAACCTCTAAAGTCACGATGAAAATGTGTTCACCCTATATACCTGCAGTCACTGGACGCATTAATCAGCTCCATCTTCCTACGATGCTCGTTGATGAACCACACCGGACCCTCAGCATCCTTGGCCAGACCAGGCCACATCCGGGCATAGCTGATGGCAATCTGCGTCAACTCTGGTGGGCTGGTGTCGATCACGACACCGTCGGAACAGACGGGGTCCGAGGATTCCTGGGCGGTGTTGTAAGCAACGACGGTGACGTAGTACCGGCCGGGGGAGGGGGCCGTCCAGCTGGCGTGGGTTGCGGTGGTTTGTGTCATCTTCAAGTTACGAAATTTCAAATTACGTATTTTATTTCTAATATACCCTTTTAAGGCAAACGATGTCATACATACACATCAATGAAATGTGTTTAACCCATGCACCTACAAGACATCGTTTTACAACCTCTTTCTTCCTTGACGAATACTTACGGTAATACTGCAGTGCATGTTTGGCAGTTTAATGTAGAGAGATTGTTTATTTTGCAGAAAATATCTTTCCCTGTGCACCCACACATACAAAAAACCATCAGCAATGAGCCATCACCGTTTCCGAACTATTTGTCTTTTCCTTTTTCTTTATTCTGTAAACTTAAGGAAAGGGTGAGTTAGGCACCTAGGGATATTCACTTTACAAAATAAAATCGGTCCGTTGTCACATTTTCTTTACACCAATGCATATCAAACTTACATTGTCCTGCACTAGGTCCATCATTGCTGGGTCGTCCCAGCACAATTCGTCAAACAGATACCGATAGAAAGCCACCCCGCTCTCTTTGTCCGAGAAGCCGTCCCAGTAAGCCGAGAGTTCGTTGAACTCCTGGTAGTCCACTTCGTTGGACCCGCGTATCCCATCATGCACCAGGCCTGCTTCAGGGGGCGAAGAGTCCACGGTGACCTGGAGAAGGGCCAAGTAAAATGCCAGGTTTATTTACACTGACCATTTCTGCTTAAAGGTGCACGTTCGACTGGAATGTGTACTTTTGGCTCTAACATGCATTAGCCATGAAAAGATTATATTGGAAAGACCTGTACTGAAAATCTTAAAGGCGCACATGACTTTACCTTAAAAAGTTCAAGTTTTTGTGTTACTATCCCACATAGGGATTTCTTTAACACATTTTTGGCCCTAAAAAATTAAACCACTGGAAATGCTAGGCTTGATTCCTAGCACAAGTACCTTCAACCAAAAATGCAGTTGATGGAAAAAATGTTGCAACCTGACGCCACTTCAGCGGTTGTGTGCAAAGTCTATGGAGAGTCAAGAAAATTGTCGAAGTATTTCCTAACAAAATTGGAAATGTTTCTCAGTCCCAGATTCGTGTCTTATCATCATTTTTGCAATGACTGACCTTCATTGAGATGATATATGAAGAAAAAAGTGGCGTCAGGTTGCAACATTTTTTCCCAGTTCATTACATGATGGAGTTTTTCCCACAGCTTATTTGATGAGAAAATTCAGAGTTCTTTCAGAATGGAATTGTGCGACTCCTGGATTGAATTAAAATCCATTCAAAAAAATTGGATTCACTCAATCTCAGTCTTTAAAGTATTTCTGTGTTAACCCCATGCATACGGGAAGCGGTCATGGCCGCGGCCGCTAATCCTCATTGGAATGCAGTTGCCAGCTGTGGTATGCCGTGGCACACGGCTAGTGGGTAGTTCCACAGCTGCTGCTTTTGTGCAGTCCCGCTACCACACAAAGGCTGTGCAGTCATGCGGGCCACTTGCTCTATGTGTGGAGGAATGTCCCCATTACACCCCGTCCTTAAGGGGTTAAAGACCGACCTTGATTGTCGTAGTAGCTACCAGTCTAGCGTGGTTCGTGACAGTCAACCCGACGAAATAATCCGAGGTGTGAGGCCCAATGTGTACAGCTGGATTGAAGCCATAATACACGGCGTAACAATCACCGATTGGGATACACATACAGCTGGCTGGATCACAGTCCTCTGTGGCCTAAGACAGACAGAAAAAAATATCATGAATGTAACTTTAGTTTACATCATTTTACAGTGATTTCCCTTGATTTATATTGCAAACTCGGGCAATTTTACCACTTTGTTATAGGGCAATTCAAGGGAGTGTAATGTCTGTAACTGAGCCATTTAACCATCATATCTAATGAACGATTCAGAAAAAATGATCCAAAATTGGTAGTCTGTAATCTCCTTGACCGTTACTAGATGATGGACATAACATTGAACAGACATAATTACCAGCGCCTTAAGGACCTAACTGTTGGAAGATACGTGCGCTATATAAGACTCCGGTATTATTATTATTACAATGACACTGACTTTCTGGTTCCCGGATGTAGGCCGGGTCACGTTGGTCGGTGTAGGAGTCTTGGCGTACTTACCGGGTCAATTTTCACAGGGGGCAGTGTTTGCCGCGCCAGCTCCACTTCTGTACCGGACTCGTTGGTGAATATCCGCCACTCAATGGTTCGGATGCCACTGTGGATGTCATAAGTCTTAAAGGCAATCCTATAACAAAAACAAAAATTAATCTTTCAAAGTTGAACAACGACATTGACTGGATCAGGGTTTAAACTGGTCTATGCAATGATATGTGAGCATATTTGCTGATTAAACACACCCTTACCCAACATTATCCAGATCAGCAGAACTGGGAACGGCTAAATTCCCGTCGCCGTCATCAATAACCGGTGGGGAGGAATCGACGTGAGTCAACACACCGTCCTTCACAGAGTGGCCCGCGATGTCGCTAGCCTCCACCCAGAACCGAATGGAATCGCCGTCCACCAGGGTCAGGTCAAAGGTCGCCTGTGTGTTGGTGCTTTCATTGCTCCAGTTGTGCGAGCCGTCGCTGCTTGCGTTGAGGATGGTTTGGCCGCCGCTGTGGTCGATGGCGTGTAAGACGCGGAATTCTGTCACTCCGAGGGCGTTGGGGACTGCAGCGCGGCCACGCCGACCAAAATTCTGGTCGTAGTCTGAGAAATGAAAATGAAAATTTCCACTAATATATGTAAATGCTATCACTTTGATTCAAGTGCACAAACCTAGAGCACATACGATGACGAACTATGGTCAACCATGGTTCAACTCACCCTTATTGAATGCACACAAGTCCAAAATTGTTCGACCAGTCCAGTTGAATATCCTGGACTTGTAAAACCGTTTCAGACTGAAGTTCCTGAGTTCCGCCGAACTAAATTATTCCAAATTATTCTATAGCTTAATTACAAATTTGAAATATATGACTGGAAGCTTTGCATGGCGGATGAAATGAAATAAAATAAAAAAATTCCGGGTAACACCATGTCACCATGACAGAAATCTCTTCTTGGAAGAAGTGTGGTTCTGAAAAGACCGTATTATTATTGCTTGGCATATCGCGTAACATATCGTTGCAGAGTGCGTGACCGCAGACATTTTTGCCCAGTTCACAGCCTAAAAAATGAATAATAGATGCCGTGTCTAGGTTTTATTTATAGATATCCATGACGAGACTTAGAAAGCGCCCGCTGAATGGTCAGAATGTCCAGGTCAAGACGCAGTCTTTTTTGCATTTTTAATCGCCAAATCAGTTCACATATAATAGACTCATTTAGACCATGGTTCACTAAGAAATCGTATGCACTAATACAGCGCAGGTTTGAGGTACGCCACGAATAGCTACTAGTTTGCCAACGGTGCTGGAGAGAACTTTCCCCTGGCTTTGATGAGAAAGCCACGCTGTGCCACCCTCAACAGATGATGCACTACCCCAACACACTCACCGCTTTCAATATCGCCACTAGCGTACAAGCCGATGGGTTTCAGCAAGCCCTGGCTGTGGTGATGGGTGTTGGCAAAACGGTTCCGCCAGTCCAGAATCACCGAGGTTGACCCGCTAGCTGGGCCCAGATCCGTTATCCACATGTAGTCTGTGTCTGCATTTGCTGACAGAACGCGTAAAACGGCGTGGCTCTGAATGGTGACGTCATCGGGGTCGTCGTCGAAGAACACGAAGCGTCTGGTGAGTTGGGCATTGCCTGCCTTGTCATAGACGGATAGTACGATGGAGTACACACCTGGGGGGGGTTCAAGGAATATCATCAGAAACCAATGATAATTTGACAACTCCGAGTTTTAAGTCTTGCAACGAATCTTTGACAACGCAAACCTACCAGTGTGAGGTAACGTGACTGTGTGCCCCGAAACGGCAGTGCCAGTGTAGACTGCGGGACTATCAAAGGTTTCCGTCATCTCGTCGCCGTGGTGACCAGACAGCTGACGTACTTGCAGGTCGTACTCGCCGATGCCGGACAGGTCATCAGCCCAGCCCTGCCAGGTGATCGTTATATCCGCCTTGACAACAAATAAGCCAAAGAATTTACTGAAAAAGTTCCAACAAGTGCCATACAGCTACAACACACACACCCAAAGCCAATGTGCAAAGCAATCTGTTAAAATCATTCACGTCTTGAAAAAGAATTCATGTATTGCCATGGCATTGGCGAATTTCCTTTTTCCCAAGCTGATGGGACGATTTTTTCATCTTCTAATCGGTCCATTACATGATTATCTAGTGCCTTGTTGTCGATAACGCAAACCCAGCATAAGCCTTTCTTGTTGTGAGAAATTTTCCTTCTTCACTTATGTTATTTTAAGGATAAAATGTGGTGAGCAAAAAAAATGGCGCACTGAGATTCGAACTCAGATCAACTGACTAGAGGTCACGAATCTGCTGCCGCGCATTGGTGATTTATATACCTTCATTTCTTATAAGTTATATACCTCAATCTCAGAAGTTTTAGGCATCTATGAAATATGCATATATACAGAGGGGCTGCTCTCTTTCGATCCTGATGGAATCTTTTGCGGAAAAAAAAATTGGGGCCTGCCGAAGGACTTTTTTGGCCTAATATAGATTTGTATTACCCATTAGTCACTAAACCGCCAAACACCGCCCAACCCTTTACTCCCTGTAGTGCCCGAAACCACCCAAGCACTCAAAAGATTTTAAGGATTTATCGGTAAATAAACGTGACATATTCCAATGTAATACAGTTCATAATGGTTTAATAATGGGTTTGACGTTTCAATTTCTTTCCAATCTAACCTCTGTGGTGACATCCTCCCCAGCATACAGCATGGTGCTTCGACACCCGGCACTGATATTAAGGCAGTGGTACGGGCTGTCAAGGTCAAAGGTGAAATTGGCCGAGGCGGAGACCGTCTGGCCCAGGTAGTACCGAGTGAGGATGGTATCGGAGTTGTCTCTGTCGTAGAGTTGCATGTTTCCACCGTTCGTCGTGTCTACTTCGTACCTTAATCTGCAACGGAAATTATTTAAAAATTCATTTGAAAATCGATAAAAACAGATCAAACTGTAACAGTCAAAACACACAGACTTCCAACTTTAAATTTTTCAAACTATTTTCCATTAACTTAAAGTAGACAGACATCCATCAAAAGCAATGTAATTGAGTCTCAAGTCCTACCAAGTCCTCTCAGATACATCACACGTCCTCACAAGTCCTCACAAGTCCTTACACGTCCTCACAAGTCCTCAAAAGTCCACACATGTCCTAACAAGTCCTCACAAGTCCTTACATGTCCTCACAAGTCCTCACAAGTCCTCACACGTCCTCACAAGTCCTCACAAGTCCTTCTAAGCCCTCACAAGTCCTCACAAGTCCTCACACGTCCTCACAAGTCCTCACAAGTCCTTCTAAGCCCTCACAAGTCCTCACACGTCCTCACAAGTCCTCACAAGTTCACACAAGTCCTCACAAGTCCTTCTAAGCCCTCACAAGTCCTCACAAGTCCTCACACGTCCTCACAAGTTCATCAAAAATTAGAAATGGCAAATGGGGCACAGGAACGCACTGCATTGTTCCGTGTTCCACTCACGCTCATGGGAAAATTATACTATAAACTAGTGTTTCTGCACTAGAAAAGCATATATATATTACAGAATGAAGACTCACGTATCTCCATTAGCAGGGGTCCAAACGCTGTAGTCAATACTGAATGTGTATTCACAGATGACCAAGGTGGTTGCAGGGTTATCTTGCGATCCGGCCGCAGGACAGTCTTCGGAACCAAGAGCGTAGGTTCCACCCTGGGCAACTAAAAACAGGCAAAGATGAAAAACAAATCAATAACAGAGTGGCGTGAAACGTTTCATCTGTCACCTTGTGACATTATCTCTCCATTGCAGGAATGTGAAACATTCATTATTGGTTGTATATAATACCTAAATAAATCCTCGTCATCTGATTCGTCAGAGCTGCCGAAAGTGTGACCGTGCAATGGAACTTCTATTTTTGCCCTGTGGCCGCGCCGTGCGTTGGTACGAATAATCAACGACCCACCAATCAGAAGACGGGAATTTATTCAGGCATTGCAAAATGTATTACATTGTATCGATTTTATAACATTCCGTGATGAATCCACAAAACGGAAAGATTTCCATATAAGAAGTTCACTCAACACCCTGTGTACAAACCCTATGAGAATGGACTGAAAAATTCTAAGTGTTTTCTAAGAATTTGCTTGTATTTTCTCACTGCTCAAATTGACTTTGATGACATGAAATTGCTATCTGGAGGCTTGTTAGTCAATACAGAGGAAAATTAGTGAACTTCTTATATGGAAATCTTTCCCACAAAACCATACATTGCTTGGCAGCTTGAAAGGTACAGGGAGTACCAGGCAATTTTGGGGCGGTACAGGAACTAATTTTGGAACAACTCACAGTGTACCAATGCTGTGACTCTGGCCGATACGATGCCTAGGTTGACATCAGCGATGTAAGGATACACGGGCTGTCCGGTTCCGTCCACCGCGCTCGGGTTTGGAAGTCCCGTGGGCTGGTAGGAACTCTTCCAGTGGATTCGGATGTCGGTGGAGTTGCGTACGCCGGTGTAGAGGGTGGCGGTATCGTTGCCGACACCTTCCAATTCCAGGGTGGTGGTTCCCATGAGAAGCGTTGCGCGGAGCTCCGATAAAACAGGGGCCTGTGCCTCATCCACTGGACAGAGAAATGTAGGCAAAATGTTGTGTTACTCAAAAATTGACTTGGTTTATTAAAACGGCGTCATATTGACCACACGCATAAAATTAACAAAAAGAGTTAGAGTAGTCTTACCAGGCACACCTTAAATCTTACTACAGGCATGAAAATGTGAAGTCACAAAAACAAGAGGAAATTCAAAACTTTCCAAGACTTTGTAAATTTTCTATTTTTAATGGCAAACATATGGACGACAAAAAAGAGGGAATCAGCTGATCCGAGAAAAAGTTGCATGCCTGTTGTAGCTATTGTCTTAGGACAAACAAGGAAAGCTAGAAATGTTGTTTAGCCATGATAAAGAGGCATCAGAAAAATGCAAACATTTCTTGGAATAAATTTTCATTCACACAATTTCTTATATGGGAAATACATTTGTAGCCTATCAACTAACTTGTTCTGCAGTCGGCTCCAGAGAATCCACTGCTGCATGTGCACTGGGCGTCTGTGCAGGAGCCTGGGAAACACGCATTGCTGTCGGCTCTCCAGGAACACTGTTCTATAAAACATTATGAATAATATTAATATTAATAACACTAGGCCATGCCAAATAATGTTAATTATGGTACTTAAATTAAACCATCGGTCCCCACTTTAGTTGGGGCCATGGACTAGTCAGGTTGGAGTCAGGTTGGCGTAGCGGTACTTTCCTCGCCTTCCACCGCTGTGACCCAGGTTCAAATCCCACCTGGGCGAATATGTGGATTGGGTTTTCAGTCCGGCCTGCCTGATTCCGTGGGTTTTCCCCAGAATATTCTTCTGGGGTTTTCCTCCCACCTCTAAAACTGTAACTTCTTCTCATTGTCTTCTCTCTACAGGTTTCTTCAGGCTTGCGAGCTACAGTCCCTAGGGTGCTTTTGAGGAATCATTGGTTTCATTACCAGAAATGATTAATAATAATGAAATTGATGCATAACACGGTAATCCTTATCTTTAGGACACCTCTAATTTTTACGAGTTCTGTTCAAAACTGACTTTTGCAGATGACTGTCCACTACCAAAGTGACTTTTGCAGGCTAAAGCAGTCTTTTTTCTTCAGATAAATTCATGTTAGTTGTAATTTTGAAAGCACTTTCAAAGAAAATGTGACTTTCCTACCCTTTTGTGCAGTTTGCCATCTTGGTTTTTGAGTCAGTTTCTGTTCGTCATCGTCATCTTTCTCCCTTAATTTCCCTCTAAAATCAAAACCCCGCCAGCCTTTTTCCACAAAGTTAAACCCGCTGACATTCATGAAGATGTCATAATGTTCAGATATGTGACAATAAATATCAGAATGTCACTTTTGAGTGTCATTTAGTCAGCTCTTTTGGTGAGTCTTTTTAACCTTATATAGGAACGGGGTCCTAAAAGTAAGGATTACCCATAACACTTCCAGCAAACTTAAACACTCAATGCCCAAAGAGAAAAATGAGTCTTACGTCATTAATTAATCTTGCAGCACGGCGCAGCGAAAGGACAGGAAACTTGTCTTAAACATTCTCTGTTTGGCTGCGGCATGAAACAGCCCTTGATTGATCAAGGAAATTTGGATGTAAAATTACTTTGACGACACAACGCAACGTGAAAATAAAGATGGCGATCACTGCACGTATCATGAATGCGCATGGCGCACTGACTCGCACAGCATGGCACCAACCGTAGGAAAACCGTAATTTCTAATTTCTGATAGCCATCTTTATTTTCGTGTCGCGTTCTATCATTGTCATCGTCATTTTACCCCAAAATTTCCCTCAAAAATTCAAAACCCTGCCTTTTATCTATGACATACCTGTCTGTTCTTAATGTCATCAACTAGTTTGGTAGGTCAAATAATAGAAAAGTGGATTTTGTTCCCTTATACTTATAGTTATACTATAGGAACCGGGCCCGCCCGTACACATGATAAACGATCACATGATCGTGACGATCGCCCATTTTTTAGCAAAAAAAAAACCCTTGCCTTTACTCTCATTTGTCGAAACTAGACAGGGGCCCTACACTACACGATCGCCGAGGTTAGATACGATTACATTTTTCCTGTTATTTGACTTCTGTTTCTGTCTATTTTATACCGTAAATGAAGCTTGACAAATGACCACAACTTCAAAAGTCCCGCTCCGATGCACGATCCTGCGTACGTACACGTGCGCGTGCCGCAGTATTGTCAAAAGTCCTGACTCAATAAGATAATATCCAGTGCACATACATTCCAGTTAAAAAGAACCAGTCTAAAAATCTTCACGCAAAATAAGTGAGCCCTCAAGAGTTACAACAACAACAAAATAACAATGAAAGGGGCGGGCCTGAATCCCCTCCCTAAATGTTGTTGCATCATCGCCGCCTATTATTTTTTTCCGCGCCGAGCTTTTATGAGCTTGCAAACTACTTTCATGAATGTCGGTCATAAGAAGAGCTCTAACAAATTCTCTCAAGAAAATAAAGAATCTAACTAATGCATCGTCTTTGGTCGCCGGTCTTTTTGTAGGCACTCCCGAACACCGAGCCAAAGTCACCATCGCATTGATCGCACTGAGCGTCATAGTAACTGTTACAGAAGACCTGTAGGCAGTGGTCAATCGGCCGACACTCTGTTCGAAAAGAAGAGAGACCAGACAAAATATTATGAACAAAACTTTAAAACAAATCGCTCACGATGTTTTACATGGGCCAGAGTACTGCGTGGAATCTGACTTTTTGTTCGAGGCTTAATATGCTGGGGGAGGTTTTTCAGCTGATGACTGGCGCATGTTTTTACGCAAAAAAAATAAAGAACTTAATTAATGAATTAATTAAATAAACAAAAAATCATGCCTAGTGAGATTGTGAGATTGTACAATGCAGCTGGTGTAAGTTGAAATAATAGGAAATGGCAATGTTTGACTAAGAAGTGCTCCCCCCCCAAAAAAAATTGTAAGCCGAGATCTGAGGCAGAACCCCCCCCCCCCTAACAGTACCTAACAGTTTGTAGATACGTGCGTTATATAAGAAGCCGGTATTATATTATTATTACTATAAGACTTGGATTTCCTTAGTACCTTCACATCGTGGAGAATAGTAGCCTCGAGGACAAAGACAGTAATCGGGTGCGTCACAAGTACCTCCATTTTCGCACGTCGACATGCCGAAGCACGTGACTATAATAAGACGACAAACAAATCAAACTCGAGTGAAATTGTTGAAAAATCGGGCGAACAGAATTAAATGCCATTACTAAGCTAGGCGGCTGCGGAGCCACGCACTCGTCACACGCTTATTAAGTAGCGCGAATTTCTGGCAACCCTATTGGTCGAACGGCCTGCGCTCACGCGCATGTTGCAGGTGTTTTTAGTGGGACGCACATTTTTTTGGGCCACCCTAATTGGTCGAAGGAAGCTTGAGTGCGCTTGTGCGACCTACTTTCACGCGCATGTTGCCGGTGCTTTTTTTGTCGCACGCGCATTTTTGGCAAGGCTATTGGTCGAAGGATGCTTGAGGGCGCGTGCGACTTGCGCGCGAGCTGCACGTGGTATATACCAGTACCACCGGGTTGTTTCCATGATCCACAATAACTTTTAGCCTAATTTTTACCATGTAGAGCAATGCATATTGTTACTAATTATTGTTACATAATTATACTAATTATGTTTCTGAACCTTTAGGGTTGTGAGTGCGAAATGCCAATGCTACATATTTTATTAGCCTTATATACCCAACCTTTTATCGTTCCCCCAGTATAAAGATCGATTGGTAAAACAACCTGACCAAGAATTGCAAAACCTGTGGTGTAAAACTTACATCATTACACGAGTCAATCACAAGTCAATCATAAGTCAATCACAAGTCAATCGAATCCATTACAAGTCAATCGCAAGTCAATCAACGGTCAATTGCAAGTCGATCACAAGTACATCGCAAATTGATCACGAGTCAATCGAAAATTAATCACAAGTCAATCGCAGATCAATCACAAGCTGATCGCAAGTCAATCATAAAGTCAATCGCGAGTTGATTCAGATGTAAGGTCACAAGGGGTTGAACAATGATAAAGGAACGCCTGTGCGGAACAGCTCAAATTATAGCGACCAAACTTGGTTACACGGGCGGCTATGTCCATGGGAGAGGTGGGTTTACGGGGACATGCCCTAATATTTCTTTGGATAAATGGGGGACGCCAATTGACAGCCCTCCCAATAATGTATCCAAGTGCGTATGTAGGCTATACAAATTCGCACTGTATTTTCCGCAAGACGTGCAAAAGCTCAATGCAACAAAAGGGTCAATGTTGCGAGAAATGCGGGAAATGTCGAATTTCTCAAGGTGCTGGTCCCCTTCCCTTCCCCCTCCCCCGATGTTGACAAGAAATCGCCGCTCCTACTTGTTGACTTGTGAGTGACTTGTGAGGATTTTTGTGTGAGGACTTGTGAGGGTTTTGTGCCGTGGACCTCCTACTCATGTTTTTCTCCACTGATGATGTACATCGGCCCTAGGCCTACCTGCCTCCGCCATCCATGACCTCATCAAACACGTAGCTATGACGAGGATGACCGAACTCAGTACAGCCATAGTGCCTTGCGTTGGAGCAGTTTGCAGTCAGTAAACCTGAGAAAGAGCACGTCGCCAAAAAGTGACGTTACCATCACAACCACCCCCTCAGTCTGCACCATCCATCAAAATCATCAACATCATCACAATCACATCCTAACGTACGACAAGTCTTCTGTATAGTTGTAGATCGCTTGTAATCATTTTAACCCACCTGCTAATGCAGTATAAACCGCATCTGGTTTGTCGTTCGAGAGAGTTCGAGTATCAATATCAATTTAATTGGCAAAAGCCAAACCGGCAAAGCCACACTGAAGTCAACAAACTATAAATCCAACTTGTGATTGGAAATCTGAGGAAAATAAAATTGCACTTACCCAATCCGAGGCATTAAATTTACGTCAAAACAGCGGGATTTGATGGGTGCTTACAAATAAAATCCTGGCGGTTATTCCTGCCACTTTGGCCTACGTGACCTACAATGCGTACCTTGTACCTTCCCACTTCCTCAGTTCCTGATCCCCGACTCTTTTTTTTGTCCAGTACCTGTTTGTCGATAAAAAAAAACTATGTACATAATATTGAATAGCACTGTCATTGAATCACGGAGCTATTGAATCTATTGAATGACGGTATTACCACAATAGGCAATGTGGCCCGATATATTTCAAAGACTGAATAATGACTACGAGTTTGCCTCAGGTGTGAGAAACTGAGAAGGTATAACCGTTGCCTTGGTTATTCGTAAACAGGCGCGTTGACAATAGCGGTAGGGTTTTCTTGCCGTGAAAACACAAAGCAGGAACAAAAAGGGGGTTCCCCCACTCCATCCAAAATGTCAGAACCAGCAAGCTGTGATGATTAGGCCTAACGCGATTTCGATCGTAACTGGCAACATCTTGACTTAGAATGAGTGTGTACACTCGGTGGGAAAAACATGCTGGATTCTAATTCCTTGTAAATCTTTTGGCGGGTTCGAATATCAAGGCTTTCATTCCTTAAAACTGAGGTACTGAGTTTTGGCAAAACTGTATGCCTCTGCAAAATGGCCTCCATCGGTCCATTCCACCTCTCAAAATATCAAGTTTAACACCCCACCCCCGAAAAACTGAACCATAGGATAAGCCAGAATGTCCATTCTACGAACGCGGAAGGATTTGATTCGATTGAAATGTATACCTTTGATTTGGGACACCTTAGCCGAGCGGGCACTTCCTTTTATTTGCGGTTGTCAAAGGAAGTTGAGGTCAGCTATGAAATTTGGTATATTTATTATGTAAAAGCCAATCTCAGGTACAGCCAGGAAACTATTGGACAGAGGTAACAGTTCGATAAGAACGTGCAGATCCGGGTTTAGGGCGTTGATTTGGCGAAGGCGGGGGGGGGGCAGTAGGGGCGACAGAAAACTTGACGAAAGACGTACATCGTCGAGGTGGTCTAGGGGTAAGACGTCTGCGCTCGGCTGGTAAATAGGCGGTGGTGGGTTCGAGTCCCAACCAAGTGGAAAAAAAAACCTCATTGAACGAGCATGGTTGTTAGTCACTTAGTGCATCTTTCATGGATAAAAGCCGTCACTACCGCATCCTAGTCTGGACATGAGGGTGATATTTTAATGACAACGAACATTGCGCCAAAATAAACCCGGTGGTGACCTCTAATTTCTTTGCTCTCATTGGATACATTTTGTTTATCCATTGACCCGGGTCAAGACTTCCGTCCAAATGTGCGTACAAGCATTGGTCACGGCAATCTGTTACCGATACCCACAATGCTTTGTGGAATCTCAATTTATTTGTTTTCCACCTCTGTGAGATTTTGTAAAAGGGCAACGCTGTACGTGATTTATTTGCACGTTTTGAAATCCAGAGTTTTATGCTTGGTTTTTACATACATTTTATTTTTGCCTCAAAGTTTTTTTTAATAGCTATAGAAATATATATACATATAGGGCCTACATCATAAAAGAGATTGTTCGTAACCCATTGACTATATTTTAATATAGTCAATGTGTTATCATGAACAGCTCTTTGAGTATTCAGACATTTTGTTAAGTTAAATAATACTCCAGTTAAACGAATATTACTACACATCAATCCGTGAACTTTACTAACAAATGAAAAACCAATACGATTAAAACGTACCTTATTCACGACGCGTTTCTATAGTGCAAAGATATATTTACATTGGACCGGATTTAATCCGTCAGTCAGTCAATGTAAATCGGTGGGTCAGTCAGTCGGGGAGTCAGTCAGTCGGTCCTTAAATCAGTCAGTCGATCCTTAAATCAGTCGGGGAGTCGTTCAGTCAGTCGGTCACTAGTCGGTCGGGGAGCCAGTCGGTCAATCAGTCAGTCGGACGGGCAGTCAGTCAGTCGGGGAGACAGACAAACAATCCGAGTCGGTCGGGGAGTCAGTCAGCAAGTCAATCAATCGGGGAGTCGGGGAGTCAGTCGGTCAGTCAGTCACTAGGACACTAGGTTGGCCCAAAGGCGGATCCAGGGGGGGGGGCAAAGGGGGCCATGGCGCCCCCTTTATGTGACATCGCAATAAAGGCAGGCAATGAGTACACCACCATCTTTTCCTCAAAAAAACATTGGTTAAAGTGGTCAGAAATTGCCTCACATCGCACCACAGAGCATCTAGAATCCAAAAAAAATTCGGGGCCCTTAAGCGGGCCCCGAACCCCACGCCGTAATTTTTTTGGCCCACTTTTTGGGGGGACACCCCCCAAAAAAATTCGTGTTGTGGATCCGCCCTTGGGTTGGCCCCTGGGTTGAGTGATCAGCAAAACGTTTATTATTTAAGTAAGTCTATGACTTTGCAGCATACAATAATTCGCCGTGACTTGGCCGATTAAGTGACTTAAATATCGTCAACATTATTAAAATTGATAAAAGCACAGGCACTGGAAGTTCTAGCTTGACTTCTGCATTTGTTGCAAAGCAAACTGTGGTCCTTATTTCATAATTTGTTGAAGTTTCTAAATTGATGTCATATAGTCGACATGAGTGAAAAAATACTTTCCTATGTTCCTGTATAACACGCGATATGTAACAATTTTATAAAAAATATATAAACAACCTTAATTAATAATGCCGATTCTTAATATACATTCATAAATACCTAAGACAGTTTACGCATTCCTATTGGTCGAGAGCCCGTCACGTGGCCGGTCTTAAACGGATGATAAAGACATGGTAAATACTTTTCCAGTGTCACATGAAATTTGGACTCCCATAAAATCCGGTGCCTTTTAACGTTTCATTGGGTGAACGTTCACATTTCTTACGTATGTATGCGCAATACTAATAGTGAATCAGTATTTCATGGTCCGAAATTCACACTACACCAGCCCAGCTGCGTTTTGCGCGACATCGCGCAGTACGCGCGACGCGCACGCCAATGTCGTTATAAGGTAACGACATCTATGGGTAACGAGTTGTGGAAGGGCATTCCATATAATAGTCAGAGGGGTGTTTCATAAAACATGAAGTTAAATTGTTGAACAAAATGGTTGGCGGCGTCTAGTTTTTGACTTGTTTTGATTTTTGGACCGAAAAATTTGGGGGTTTTGGACCGAAAAGGTATTTATGAATGGGAATAAATATGTGTTCGGTCGGTATTAAACACTCTTTTTAAGACTGGTGGGAGTCTGGACGGGTGGTTCGCCTCGGGCAATTAGCACCCATCCAGACTCCCACCGGTCTTAAACAGAGTGTTATAATACCTCCCGAACACATATGTATTCCCTTAGTCGAAACCTCTTCACAACCTGGCTGCAAATATTTACAAAAATTCAAAGAAAGAACCAAAATCTACAAAAAGAACACATAAGAAATTAAGCACATCATCACGACAGCCTTGGCGAGAGTCAAATGAACAGCGCCACCACACGGTGCTGGGGTGGCTTCGTCTTCCTCCAGGCCGTGCGGGTACCAGCTACCGCAGCGAGGGAAGTCTTTCGGTCTGGGAGGCAGGTCTTCTTCCGTGCCCACGCGGAGTAACAGAGACATGCCGATCTGAACGGAGCAAGGAGAAAAACAGATCAAAATGTCAGTATTTTGCGTCAGGGTTGGAAAAAATAAAAAAATAAAAAATAAGGAGGACATTTTTTTATTCCGGGGGCGCGGGCCGGGGTCGGGTAGTCTATGTAACAAACTTTGGGTAGGTTCGAGCGTGCTACTCGTGTTAACGCTAGTATACTCCTGAGCGCCGGAACGGCAGGAGTACGACCCGCAGGTTAGCAAGAGTATGCTCTCCGTCATACCGGGAGTATACTCCTGCACCGAGAGTAATGCGCACGCAACATTTTCCTGCACTCGGGAGTCGCTAGAGTATTACACTCTCGAACGCACCCTTTTATGCAAAAGAAGACTGCGTCTTGTCATCCAGACCATTCAGCAGGCGCCGTCTACCGAGTCTTCCGTAACCCGTTGGCGTATTTTTTTTTGTAGCATACATCGTATTCTAACCAATAACTTCAGGCATCCTAACATGAATATTTATCACTCTGTGTGGATTGAACACACTTAGGTTCTCGAAGTGTTTTCCCTTCAGCTAAACCTATCCCAACCAACACAAATATGTGATGAACACGGGCATTGGCTCGAACCACAGATCCTGCGATCCATAGTTCACTCCACTATCCACTAGGTCACTGTCTGAGCCCGACGAAAGCCAAATGTTTAATGTACATGCAAGACTGAGTGATAGCAATGGTGACGTCATTGTTTTCTTATGAATAACATCGAACTAGCTGAATAATCATGATCCTTTGACGATATGTGCTGCAAATAATAACACCGCAACCCGTTGTTGTTTTACAAAAACATGGCATCCGAATTGAGCAATCAACAGCTTAGTCCACATTTCGAAATGACGTCGCAGTTTCTAAGGTCGACGATTGGCTGGCGCTTTTTGGTCTGGGTAAACTATTTTGTATCTACTCATATCAAATAGCGCCCTCATATTGTGTCCACCACAAGTATCTCGTACAGGCAGTTAGATCCCTTCACATACCTC